AGGAATCCGACGGAGATGACATCTTAAACGTCTTGTAAAAAGGCTGTAAACTCACAAACTTTTCCCAAATGCGAATCTTTTGGTTGATGTTTTACGTCACAGGGCATAAATCACGTGGTCAAACGCACGACCGCTTTGCGGAGATCTCGCGGGCTATTGTTTTGCGAACTTTGTAATGGCGGACGGTATTTACGCACTTTTCAGTGGGAAATTTCCAGCCCCCGTACGCAAGTATCGTTCCAATTTTTCGCTATTTGTATAATTTTGAATATATACAAAAGATTTATGTAAAAAAAACTCGGAAACAAAAACAAAATTTTCGTCGTAGTAGCACTTTCAGTGTTTCAGCTTTAGATTTCGATCATTTATTTAAGGATCAATATTTCAATTACTCTGCCTAATAGAGCTGCAAACGTTTTTTTTCAGCTACAAAATTACGGTCGAACCGGTATGGGCGGCTCTCCATACACGTTGACCAAAAACCTAGCAGTTATTGAAGAAAATGGAGATGTTGAAAGAGCGAAATAAAGCATTTACTTTCTGTACCAGACACTAAGGAGTGTTTTACGTCATTTGTGTCTGGTACACGAAGTAAAACTGCGAAATATCTGTCTCACAACAAATTGACCTCAGGCTTTTTCTACCTCTTCCTGGGCCAAAATTTTGACGAATGAAGTCTTAGAAATTGTGTTCCCTTAAAGGAACACTATTTCATTACTGCAGAAGTAACAAATTTTGATCTTCTGTAAGGATGTTAAGTCTAAAATATTACTTGAAATAGGTAAACAACGGATTTCCATAGCAGATGTAGTTTCGCGAGGAAATATTGTCTCTTCAATTTGACAGTTCTGCTGGCTTTTTAACAATGCGCGTGCGCGTGCGCATAATCAGGACAGTGTCTCTTTTAAAGGGACACGTTCACGATACTGCGCACGTGTGAGTTCTGACAGTAGCTGATTTGTTTTAAACAAATCGGAAGTGAGTTAGATGCACGCAAAGAAATTTAAATAATTCAACTTCATTGTTCGCGACGCGGGAGTATTTCCAGACATTTGGTTTGATTTTATGTATCCCCATAATTCATATTTATCCTTTCCTATTCCTCAGATATGATGCAGCCCATAAAAATAAGGTTTACAGCCCCGTTCTGCCTTGAAACAAACATTTACGTACGTGTATTTTTACGAGGTCATTTACGTACCCCTGCTAACAAAGCAGCCACCTTTTCTTACTGGTCTCTCTGTTCGCCCTATATAAACCCAGAAATACCTGCAAATAGCCCTTGACCGGTATTAGCAAATGAACAAATTCATTCGCGTTACGTCGGGTCAGTGTTCGGCAAAACAAAAGTTATCGAGCAGAAAACATAAAGATACCAGATTACAAACAGAATATTCAGGCAATAATTTATTTCAAAAACATCAATTCTTAAACATATACGATCGTACAGCAAAGATACAAGGAAAATTTCAAATGCGAGCGGCGTGTTGCGTGCTTTTCGGTATCACTATAGGTTGGGGTCATAAATCGAATCAGAGTTGAACAAACTCATGCCTTTTACCACTTTCCAAGTGTGGTGTATTCTTTCGTAAGCCACACACAACTCCTAGGACCATACCAGATCGATCGGCTAAGCTTCTCTATCTCCAAAGACTCTTGAGAAGGTCCTGTTGCCGGTCGCCCGCGACGTCCCTTCCGAGACTGCATTCACGAAACTGATTTTTCGTTTCCTAAACGCGATCCTCCGAAAACAAAACAACACTCACGAGTACTTTAGAAAAAGCAGACTTCACTTTGCTTAGGTAGAGCGAAGGATGAGCGAATTTAAAGATAGATTCCCTTGGATTCGCAGTTGATGTCTTTTTCCGATTTAGTGTTGGCCCGTTTGATCACAGGCGGCCCAGAGGTAGTGTGTGTCAATAACGTGGACAAAATGGGATGAGTCGGCGAATCTCTCATGAACTAAAATAGTCCAGAAACCAAAATATAACAAAACAAGGCAAACATACCTTCAACTGAACGTCTCTTTGTCTTTCCTGGCCGGTTTAAGTGGCATTTTGTCGAATTTTGCAATCGTAGCTACTATCAAGCAGAGAAGAATTAAAGGCTGGCTGCAAAAAAACGGACCATCTCCACGCGCCTCCACGCGCCTCCACGCGACGCGCTATAAAATTGAGAACAATTCCGCTCCAAACTGCCATCGGCTTGTCTGCAAGTAACGTGTACTCCGGCTTCTTGCTCACTGGCTTCACAAAACCCATTGCAACTGCACGATAATCGCTCGCTCATCAACAAACACTTAACCTTTACGCTCCGCTATGAACCGCAAAAGGGCAGGATTACAACGCGATGTAAGTATTCAAGCTTAGCGATCGCCTCGGCGCGACAATATAGCACTTGCTATGAGAGGAAAGGTACTGTTGCTTCTTGGTCAATCAACGCGGAGGGAGGGTCCGCTGCGTTAGTTTTGACCAGAAATCAAAAGGCGATCGCGCGACTGTCCGTAAACAGTTTTCAAGTTCGAATTTTTCTAACGTTCGCTGTCCAGCCGCGTGCATAAGTTCTTGACTCTTCTGGACCTATTTTCTTTAATTAAGGATTAAAAGTTTTTCCTTCTAGAACAAGACGCTGAACAGTTCTCCCAAATATGGTAACATATTATGGGATTTGTCAGGTCTGAAAAGAGCAAATTCAAGAGGCCTGGCATTTCGGGACAAATCGGAGATATTAGGATGCGATGACTCCATACAAATCCTTCTAAAAAACAATTCTCTATTTTTATTAGTCACATTTCAAAAAACAGCATAGCCTCCTGGGTAAGGAGTCAATTACGTTGAGCATGCAAAGGAACATAGCTTTTACAGAGCTTTAAAACACAGCATCCACCAACACAAACTTGACTTCAACTCTGAGTAAAACTAAACAGCCTCTACCAATAATAACAAACCCTCACTTGAACTTCAGATATCTTACGGCTTCCGCGAACTTGTAAACACAATACCTAAAAATCGACCTTCGTCACACTTGACTAAACACAGCAGTCCAGCTCGTGGGAAAAAACTTAGTTCTTCAAAAGAACTCGCTTGGAACTTGTATACCGTTTGACATAAGGTTCTAGAAAATACTAAACAGCAGGCGAATAGTAGTAGCTTTTCGACAAATTTTATGATTTCAGTAACTGATGCAAATCTGCTGACTCACGTTGATATGTAAACATTCCCTAATTAATTATTCATGGTTAATCCAAAAACGTAGAGAACGTTCGAGAAAGTCACGCAACGCATGAAAGCAATTTTACTACGTAACACTCAACAAAGACAAAATTTCTTTTTGCAGCATTTGCAAAGAAATCGAAGTGATCTCGAGAAAATCATTCGGCAAAATCTGGCCTCAGCTTTGCATGCAGATGAATGGAAGATATGGTAAAAAAAAGCAAAATTTATGCAGATGAGTGGAAGATATGGTAAGGAAAATTTAAGTGGGCGATATTTTATTAATAATATTTTAATATTAATAATTTTTTAAAAATGTTTTGTTGTTATTTTAAAAACTCAGGGGCACCCAAAGACGAAAAATTGTTTTCAATGCATTTAGGGAAACAAATAGATTTCCCCTCCCCTCCCACCCCCGAAGATTGCGAAGCAAGGGCGTTGCAGTGTCGGGGCTCGGAGAGCAATCGTCTCCCACCAATGTGGCTCCGGGTTCAAAATCCCGGCGTCGACGCAATATGTGGGTTGAGTTTGTTTCTTGTTGGTTCTTCCCTTGACTTCGAGAGGTTTTTCCCGGGGTACTCCGGTTTTCCCCACTCCTAAAGAAACAACACTTCCAGATTCCAATTCGACCAGGAATCAGGTAGCCGAAGAACCACTTGGTGGATATGCTACCTCTAAATCTTTTATTTAATATTGCATATTTTAACCCTTCGACTACCGCCAGCGAGTAGTGAACGAAACCTCATTTTTTACTAAATTCTCCTTTTTGGAGCGGTTTTCTGCCAGTGGCTAAGAGTCAACACTACAATACTAAGAGCCTATTTTCCTGTAAATTGTGTGTAATTAAGCTCCTTTTTTTGTTTTGGTGCTTGCACATAAGCCAAAATTTGGACGTTTCTAGGAATCTATTTCGATCTTTCTTTCTCGCTCTCTCATCATTTCCCTTTAACTTTCTTTTTGCCAGTTTTTTTACATTCTTTATCGTCTTTCGTTCGCAAAGAATTGTGGTTGGCTAACTTTCTAGGAAAGAGACAAATTGAATCTGCAAAGAGTACAAGGTGCATAGCGAAATTGGCAGTTGTAAGAATTACTCAGAATTTCCAAAATGAAGTACCTGCGGAAAGATCTACCCTTCCTGAGTTTGCTGCTTACCAACTTAGTAGCCTAACATGAAAGCCAAACGGGTCCTAAAAAAAAATATGCATCGTTGCACATGGAACGAAAACGACTTAAGCGGTCGTTAATAAAGCTTGTATTTTACATTATACTATGTCTTATTCTTTCCTCCCAAAAACGTTCCCTTTTCCTTCAAGAAATAGCCTGCAGTTATATCTTGGGACTTCAATGCGGCTACGAACTTTCATCCATGTTACTAATTTAAAAAGTCGTGAACGTAACATAAAGTTAGTTGTTAGTTGTTTAGCGCATCTTCAAAAACAAGTTGTTCCACAATGTATTGACAGATCTTCCAGAAAAGCCTAAAAAAATGTTTTAATTGAAGTGTCAGTGTAATACGAACGGACCACTGATTAAGAGACATTACTCTTAATCCTCTAGTGGAGACAAGACCGCCATTTCTACGTAGCAATTGTTCGTGGTCATCTATTTCAAGACCCTATGTATTGGTCCGACTAGTGATGAAACCGTCTACGTTTCGTTGTACAAAACAACCCTGGGTGTTTCAACTGTAAATTGTCCAAGATAGTCACCCTGACTAAGCTATCACAAAGAACCTTTGCAGGTTTTTCCGGCTGCGCCAGAGACTTGCAATCTTCCAAAATTTCGGTTTCTCCAAAAGTACTTGAATGTTTCTCTAAATTTTGGAAGCCGCCATGAATAAAGTATCGGGTTCAAGAAGGAGTTTGCACACGTTAAAGTGCCAGAAAATCCAAAGAAAATCATAAGCAGAGCCAAGTGAGGGTGGCATGGTTTGCACAAATATATCAATAGCTGAACTATAAACCAGGGCATGTAGCAAATAAGAAATGCACAGATGACGATGGCGATCGCTTTGAAGAGATTTCTTTCTCTTTTGAGGATCATCAGACGATTGTCTATTGAATGCCGCTGTTCTTTTTCTCTTGTTTTTGAGTACCTATGGAAATGGAACATCATAACTGCGTACATTATAACAATGCTTAAGAGAATGGATAAAAGCTGTACGTTGTAGATTGTAACCATTATGGCAAAATAGTCCCGAAGCATCAGAAATGAACACCCGAACGCTACGAAGTACATCCAGCAAACACAACAAGCGACGAGTACTCGTTTATTCGTTATTTTAAAACGATACTCAAGCGGTGTTACCACGGCGAAAAGTCTATCCACTGTCAGCAGGAAGATGTGGCCGAAGCTCACATTCACAGAGAAAACGTTTATGGCAAAAATAACGGAAAGACCAAAAGGCGATGTGTTTTTGTCAAATATTACCCAGCCCCAATACGCAGTGATCGGACAAACCACCAAGCCGACTGACAGATCAGCGAGAGCCATGGAGACCAAAATGAAGCTCGATGGTGATGAGCGAAGTTTCTTAAGCGGATCTTTCCAAACTGCTAACAAGACCAGCAAATTGCCAAGCACTATTATCGGCGCCATGACTATCGAGAGCACAGAACTAGTGGCCGAAAGAGGCTTGACATTTTCTAGACGAAGCCAAGCTTCTTGTAAAGCTTGCTCGCTTGTTATGTTCCAGAAGTTGTAATGTCCTAAGACAGCTGCCATTTCAAACGATTCAGAAGGAGAGTTCCCCACAACCTTGTTCAAACAAATCGCGGTTTATTGTGCACACCGGTGGTCGAGTAAAATGTTACGTATCTTAGAAGTCAACGACGTCTTTGTTGTATTGGACTAATCCTGATCAATCAATCATAACATGTTACAAAGCGTCAGTTCACATATCATTGCGTGTTTAATGGTTCGGACTTTCACCGACTAACGATCATTCAAGTCCATAACTCTTTAGCCTCTGTTAACACCAACAAATTTAGACTGGGCATGATAAATTCGGTCTTACGTTTTTAAATATTACACATCCTTAGTCTGTCACTTGGCTATGAAATCGGCATCTCGAGAAAACGTCATTAAACCCTGTACAACAACTAAGTATAAATTGTAACACGCTTCTTTGGTTTAACAACTATTAACTAATGATACCTTTACGGTCTTAAAACTCAGTCTTAAATAAGATTAGAAATTAAAGTTTTCGGCATGGAAAGAGCTTTTGTAATTGAAAGAAGGTTTAACCCAACAAAATTCGCCAGTTTCGTGTGCAAATTTACTCCAGAACATTAAGAAACAAACAGTTTGATTAAATTTACTTTTCTCCGACTGTCCTACGTCATAAAAGTGGAAAAATATCAAAGTGCGTCAATTTTGATAAAGGCCAATGATAATATATAGAGGATATTACATGCCCGAGCGTGGATACGAATTTTATCTTTAAGTGTTCTTTTTAGTGACCGCTGCGAACGAGTGAGATATCGAGTTGAACACGAGAAGATGAAATTCGTACCACGAACGGGCATGTAATATTCTGTTTATTATATAGACACCGATGGCGAGATGCTGAGATGCTCTTTTCCTATTGGCTGAGACCGAAGTAGCCATGAAAACCTTGATATCGTCACATTTAAGAGATGACGTTTGCACTTGCGCATAATCAGGACAATGTCCCTGGAGGGTTTTTCTCAAGCATCTGCGTTATCTTTATTTTCTCCATCTCTATTAGGCGATCAGTTACTTATATTTAGCGGAATCTAACCAGTTATGTTCATACGTTCGCTTATGGCATACAACACTCGGTGACTCGGGGATATAAAAAGAGAGAAACAAGAAGATGCACAAAACCTTTTAAGGTCACTGACTCGCCTTGTAGTGGGTACCTCTCCTTCTTAGCACATTAAGTTCTTGGGTAATACTGATGTTTCTCGATTTAGCAAAAGACCAACGACAAAGCCGTTGAATTGGGGGAAATTGGCTGGAGTAGAAACACGCTTGTGTCTTGATTTAGTTGTAAGTCCAGAAAACAGTATAGACTTACAGCAGACGCTGACTCAAGCATTGTTAATGAGTGTTGAATGTGTATTAACTCTTATGTTTGTCAAAAAGGATAAGGGTAACGTATGTATTGAGTGGTTGTCTAAAAAATGAGATAAGATCGCATATCGATAACAGTGCTTGATGCCGGAAGTTCTGGTCAGAGACAAGTTGTCCCTGTTACAAAATCTGCAATGCTGCATTCAAAAAGCGAAACGAAAGAGGTCTTTTGTATATACCGCGACGCAATCTCTACCTAAGTTTACAGGGAACTAGACCGTAAACAATAGCGTCAGCATGACGCTCGAATGACGCGGTTGCCTATATTTAACAAATAAATACATTCCGTTCTGTCCTGCGTCTGTTCATTAATAGATCACAATTGGTACATTTTTAAATGTAAGTTACAACTTACATGGTTTCGAGTGTAAATCTAAAATAGCCGATCGGTACAGCTTTTTATCGCTTTATTTTTGTCTTAAGAAAAATTATTATTCAAAGACCACGACTGAACATTTCATTCTTGAAAGTTATACAAAGGTTAGGGGACAAAGTCAGTCGTGCATGATGTACTTCTATGTTACAAAAGTAACTAAGGGCACATAGGAAGTCTTGTATCATAGGCTGTACACTGCTACATGTTGTGCGATTACTTGGTACCTGTGACTTTACTTCTTCATTGCACATTATCAGGCGAGTCTCCATAGGCCCATCAGCTCGTGCAAGTCAGTAAAAGTAAGGTCATGTTAGGTATAAATAATTGGGATTACCTAGCTGTGAGCTCAGTCGGTCAATTGCATGTTGCTGACAATAGTGGACTGTTTTCGCAGTATTAGTCACTATGAGTGACGAGAACCTGTTCTTCTAACTGGCCGGGCTGCAAGACTCCGCACTCTTTGCACTTGCGGGCGGACCCTGTTCCCCGCTGAACCGGGGATGAGGGCGAACTACCACAAAAGTCTGCCGAGAGAACTGATGAGACCGTACAGCTCTCGAGGAACACGGCGTCAAAGCCGGAATCAGAACCGGCCGTTGACAAGGAGGCCGAGTTGCCGCCAGATTACATGACCTACTGCTGCCAGAGTAAGCGTTAGCCAAGGAGACACGGATACAAAAATTAAAACAACAAATTGCTGCCGTCGAGAACCGTTCGTCCATCTTAGTTGATTCGGCCGCATCAAAACCCTCCGGGTCTACTTTGATCAGTTGATCTGCCGCCAACACCCGGGATAAACCAAGTCCAGGGATCAAGGGCAAAAGGTGAACTTTCATTCAAATGTTATAACCTACAAGAAAAAGGTGTCTTGTTTCTTGTCACACAGTTTGAAGTTACTAAAGTCTTGTATCATAAACAGAGGTTTGGACTGGTTTGTCCTTATGACCACAGCATCTACCTCGTTTGTTTAAAAGTCCTTGAATGTCGCCCGAAATCTAGGGATTCTCCAGGCGTATACGAATGGATTTACGCCAGAATTATCATAAATTAAAACGAACGTAAATGCCTACACAAATACTAGTTGTGATAAATTAAGCTTGCATTTGACGCAAAAATACGAGAATGAGAGAGGTTAGAAATGCACAGGTAACAACAGCGACAGCTTTGGAGAGATGTTTTTCTCTTTCACGCATCCGTTGATGACAACTTGCCGTACTGTCTTGTGTTTTGGCAGCCTTGGAATATTTGAAAAAGCGATGTAAGATTACAAAGTACATGAGTAAAATACAAATCACTAAACCGACCATAAGATCGGCGACTGCTAGTGATAATATTACATAGTTTGATGGCCATTTCCAGAGTTTCTTCATAGGGTCTTTCCAAATGGAAAAAACGACCAATAAATTTCCAAACACGATGATGGGTGACAAAATTATCACAGAAATAGCAACAATTATTGATATAGCCTTTGAATTCCCGGCACTGAGCCAAACCTGTTTGAAAATTGAATCACCCGTTATATGCCAGAAATTCAAGTCACTCGTAACAGTAGCCATTCTCAGGTCAACTACAATTTTAAAGAGATTCGTTAGTGATTTTAAAAAGGTAATGCGTTCGTGACAAAGAATCACAAGCCTTTTGAACTATTTGTTTAATAAATTAGTGAAAAAGCTGTTGTGAATAATTAGGTGCCTATTAAACTGCGTCTTTGTGAAAAAAAAAATTCCTGAGTTTTCAAATTCATTTACATTTTCGCGGACAGAAAGCCATGGGTAATTTTCAAGGAATGATCACGCAGTGACAGATAGCACAGGAGAGTAACCCTGAAAATCTGGTTTTAGATTGTATTATATTTTTATTATTATCAATCATTATTCTGTTTAGGAAGAAGATATTGTGCACACACAAAGGTAGCAGTACTCAAATGTCCTATTTGGAAAGGTTTTGTCTTCTGGTTCCACTGCTGGCCTCCGACCATGGTACACTAACTGGGTACCACACCGGACTGTCGTCTTTGCTTTCTAGGAACTGGTTCATCTTTTCAAGGGGCGACGAACCTTCACGCATGGCAATCCTCGATCATGCTCGGGGGGCTGGCGTACAAGTAATGTGCAATGTGGTCAAAGGCTTCCTCCAGGTGTCTCAAAGGCCGTCTCTGCTTCTGATACCTTTGTGGGCGCTTGAGATATCGTCGTCCTTTTACATTGTCTATAAAAGTCTAACCAAAACAAGTTCCAGCTAAACGAGTGCAAGTGTTTGCCTAGTCCCTAGGCCTCATTATTATGCGCGGCCGATGCGTTTCGGGTCACGTGGTCCGAGAAAGTTTTTGAGGCCTAGACAAACATTTTGTCTCACTTGGGGCGGAGCTTTTGGAAGCGGGCGAGCTGTCAATAACTTTTCCGCGCTGATGAAAGATGTCCAGCAGCCTTGGATCGATACAGAGGACCGAGCATTTTTATTCTATGCACGTTTTCATTGTTGAAAGTCGTTTGGCCTTTCTTTTTCATTTATCTCATTAAACTAATTTGAACTTTATTTCATCTCAAAAACTATTTGTAGGCTAAGCAAAACAGCGTCGCAAAAAAATTATTTGATCAAGAATCGGAAGGTAAGCTAAAGAAATAAGTTTATATTTATTCTTGGATATGACAAGCTATCTTTCGTTTCTCTATTTTTGCTTGCTCCTATAAATTTCTCGTTATTATTTCACTTCGAAATACTTTATGTAATTTACTAAATTTTTGGATTTGGAAGCTTATCAAAGTAATCGGACAGGCTGTTGAATTTGGTCTAAATTTGGTAGAATGTCAACAAACTGCTGTTTCAAATCATTTTATCAATAAAGACTATCATTTTAATGGTTCATTTGAAGATGGACTAAAAGAGAAATTACTTGCACGTTAGACAGTAGTATTCTTTCCGATTCAAAGTAATATTTTTGTTCTTTTATAACACGAACTAGGTTAGTTACTTTTGTAATAATCTTTAGCGAAGGATATTCACGCCCAGAGTTATTTATAGATTATTTCAGTTGACCGTGTGAACTTTTCAAAAATGCTCACGCATGCGCACTCCAAGATTGTCTAGGCGTCTCCCGGCCGTTCGTCTCGGATACGTCACCGAAATGCATTGACCGAGAGGGCCTGAAAAGACGCCGTACAGGGACTAGGCAATGCAAGTGTAAGGAACTACGGATTTAGTTCGCTAAATCAGCCGAGGACTTTGCTCCCATTGTTATCAACGGGAAAGCAATAGAGGTAGAGTCCACTGTTAAGTTCTTAGGTCTAAAGATATCATCCGACCTCCGGTGGAACTGTCATGTTGCTGAAATAAGTAAAAAAGTAGCGAGTCGATTATGTTTTCTTAAACAACTGAAGAGAGCGAATATTCCCGCCAAAGATCTGCTAATCTTTTACTTGACCTGTATCCGCCCAGTAACGGAATACGCATGCCCGGTGTTTCACAACGCGCTTCCCGCATATTTATCCGCAGAGTTAGAACAGCTACAGAAGCGCGCCATGCGAATTATTTGTCCGTTTGTACCATATAGCGACGCATTACATCAAGCCAACTTGGAGGCGCTCTTTCGACGCTGGTAGTCTATCACAACTAAGCTTTTTGATTCCATCACTTGTAACTCAGACCATAAAGTGCATAAGCTCTTGCCACCTCGTAACAATTGTGAATCCAATTTAAGACGAAAGAGGAATTTTAATGTCCCTCTGGCTAAGACGAAGAGACTTAAGAACACATTTATATATAGCAACTGTAATTAAATTTTTGGCTACATATGTGTACATTTTTCTTATATTTTTTCTCATATTTTTATTAGGTTTTGTTATTGTAACGATTAATCTAATTCAGCTTTTGGCTGCGATTTTAATCAGAATAAACTATCTATCTATCTATCTTACAAGCGCTCTCACATCTTTCCCTAATACATTGTAGACATGCTCAACACTTGTGCACGCGCTGGGGTCACGCGATATGAGAAAAGCAACTAAATCAAAGTGAATTTCCACAGATACCTTCTAGCCATTTTTCTCGGCTGGTCATTACTTGTTTTCTAGAAAATCGCATTAGCTGCATATCCCAACATGACAAAAAATTGTAACAGTGAAGGGATAAAGCAGTTCAACGGACACAAACTCCGGGGTTTTCATTTAATGTCAGTCTTATTTTTACTCATACATTTCACTATCTCTGTCTTCGACTATACAGATTGCCCATGTTTTGAAGTAAAGGATGAAGAGGACTTGCTCTTGGAGAAGACAGTTAGAGGTTACTGAAACTTGTGAGAGCGAAGAATGACTCCAGCGCCCGATTATTTTATGCACCAAAAGGGAAGCCTAACTACATAAAAACTATACGAAAACTTACATGTATACAGCTACAAAACACCTATAAAAAAGGCACAGCCTAATTTTCTACAAGCCACATGAAAACTGGAAATAATTTTAATTACTTTGACAAGGTTTTGACGATCTCTTCTGCTTTTACCGACAATGTCAGCGAATGTCGAAATTTTATAAGTTAACAACTCTTGACAAAATGATTTTATTAGCGGAAAAACTGTAGAGGCTTGATGTTTAAGGTGGCTCGATACAGTTTTTCAGGGTCAATACCTCCCAAGTTTGAGCATAAACTACGTCGCCATAGACAAAGATTTGCAAAAATTGACACCACAGTTGTATTAGATAAAGATGAAAATTTGTTATGATCAGGGTTGCAATGACATCGGAGTTGTCATAGCAGCGAAATGATGCCATTGCCTATTTTACTTGCAGCAGTATTTCTCGGCACTGGGGACTGTTCTTCCAAAATAGTTTACCGGAGCTTTTTCCTCCAATAGCCGCATCGGTGTTCGTGAAGTTAAAGCGAAATCTGTAAGAGCTTTATCGAGAGTTTTTCGGAAGAAGTTTTTAGGGTTAGAATTCGTCTGTTATCTGTACTAAACGAAGCGCTTTTGACATGCAATTTCACCTCATAGCAGTCTCAATCTTTTCAAAAACGTGTGTGAAAGATCATGGAGATACCTCCAGCCGACTGCTAGAAAGAAGGATTTGATTGGTATGTATCGGGAGCTCTTGTTAGCGGTAATGTAAACATTTCGGTCTACTTTAACAAATTAGCGAATAATTTCTAAACCGCTCGATGGATTTTTTTAAAAAATTAAGACTCTTGAGATTAACCGTGCTTTTATATGACCTCTTAGTTTCAAGATTATTGATATATTGTAAGGTCGTAAAATAAGGGCTACAATTTTCTAATATTTTGTCAGAAGTTTTTTGTTTACAAGTGAATGCCCCTCATTATTCAGGGGTATTGTCTAAAAGTTTCATTTTCACGTGAGCAGTAGTAACTAACAATGCATTTGACATATGTAAAAATGCTAGCTATTGTTGTGCACGAAAATATGAAACTTGGACATAATACCCTTGAATAATGAGAGGCTCTCACTTAAAAACTGTGTTGTTAATTTTTCCAAATCTTTGTTTATGGCGACGTAGTTTATGCTCACACTTGGGAGGTATTGACCCTGAAAAACTGTACAGAGCCACCTTAATGTACCCAGCTCAAACGAGGGTTTCAGCTTCCATTGAAATTTATTGACAGACAACCAGTGACAAGAAGCCGTATTTGAGAAACGTATAAAAAGCGGGGATAAAAAGCTCACAGCAGAGAAAGGAAATTTGCTTGCGGACTACCTTGGAAACGCGGTTTCCAACTTTTTCAAGTTAATTTTCATAGTAAAGCAAATTGTTTTGTTATTTTCAGGTATAAATGTACAATGACCCACGGTAGTTTTCAGTCAGGTCTTTGAAAAGCGAACTGCAAATGTTATGTAAAACTGTTTAAAATGTTAACCTGACTAGGATACAACTGGGAAGCAAACTCTCCTGGTCAATAGTAGAACCTTCACTTCTTTTTCATGAGGAAATATCTGTCTTCCATAAGGCGTAATAAAGCTTAGAAATATATTATCTTTGAAATACTAACCTTTTTTAGGATGAAACAACCTTTAAGATTTTGTTTTGTAGTGTTAATGATATGGATAAGGAATACAGTAAATCACCTCTGAAATAAAAACACTGTTCCCAAAGAAAAATAGAAGCCGCTTATAAAAAAAAGTAACATGCAGGGTTTTGTTTAGCCTGAAATTGATAAGGGCTTGAAAAAATATGACTGTCTGGTCACATTATTATGTTGTTGAAAACAAAATTCATACCCCAAACAAGTACAGGTATATGTTTTATTAGTTTGATTTAGAATACATCTTGGTAAGTTTTATCATCTACAGGTACATTGTTGCTTTGGATCTCTAAAAAGCCGAATACAATAATAGTGCTAATCAAGTCTATCTTTGGTTTGAAAAACAATGTGATTCACATATAGATACATATAGACCGTTTCAGAGAAGAACACCAACCAAATCTAAAACACATGACTCTGTAGCTAATACATTCAGTGACCCTCAAACACAGTTAACTTGTCCCAGTCAAAAAGAAGTAATAATACTCTTCAGAAGTGATCAATAAAACTTCTGATCATAAATAAATTAGATGCCACCTTGTGGCTCTCATGCATGACAAAAGCAACTTTTGTTGCTGTTTAATACAGAAAGATTGATTGATTTGTGCCCTCTCAGAAGAGTACTTCACCACAATTTTACTGTCGTCATTGACTATCCGTGTTCAGCAAACGGCCTACAAAAAAGACAAAAAAAGGAAAACTAAAACACCCTTTAAAAAATGACGACAACACTTGGGAGCCTAAAAGGAGGCCAAAAAATGTCAGTAGGTGTTTTCCCATTCATGCTACAATTATTAGTTTATTTAAAGGAAGAAGTACAAAAATTATTTCAGTCTCTTCAGTGCCTTCGAATACAAGCTGCGAGGAACGACGTGAGGCGATTGTATTCACTGGATAAGTAATATAGTAGTTTTATTTCAACATTAAAAGATGAGCGAAATTAACATACTGCTTTGCGAACAGTTAGCAGGGTTAATCTAGGATATTACTTGAGCGAAACAGTTCTCAACAAAAAACTAGTCTGCCAATTGGAACTTTAGACACCGTATGCGTACACTTGCTCGGCCCCAGCTCCGAATAAAGTTAATTTCAGCCATTTTCCACATCGAAATGTATGGTTGGAAAATAAACAGCACTCATAGTCTGTAACTATGCCTATGCCACAATTTCATCATCGAAAGATCTGTTAATCGTACTTAACGCAATTTTCTCAAAAACAAGGACAAATAACACAAAACAACAACAAGAAGTGCTTACCTCAAAGGTTCAAGTGTGGCTTTCAAGGGTCGCCATCGCCGTAACACAACAAACGAAGGGAAAAACATACACCAAAAATTAAAGTAGCACTAAAAACTCCCGAAAAGAACAACATGCAGGCAAACGAACCCTACATGTCGACTGGTTTGCGCCACATTTTCGCCATCTTTACGTCATAAATTTCACTATGATGGAACCATCCAACGCCATCTCGGAGCACGAAACAACCAATCGGCGATAACAACTCAGCCCACGCGACATAACTTCCTATCCGGACTTTCTACTATCCATGATCGCACACAAGAACATACCGAAGTTATAGCACCCATCCTAGGAGAAATCTCAGTTTCGGAAGGCGTCGCCACATTTGCAGTTGCTGTAAAAGCAATTCTACACTTGCAGCACAGACCTGTAAATTAAAAACCATCCACAATACTTTACTTTATAAACTGAACAGATGAGAGAAGCAATTTTCCTGCTATTTAATAAAATTCCCCGCCTTCCTATCCATGCTTGCGTTTAAATTCTGACGCTCAATTTCTGTTCGTAATCAATGGTACCTGAGCCGACAGGCACAAGTATGCCGGTTTCTCGCAAAATATGCTGCGACATCCATTTTGTTATCCCTCTTTCATCCTTCGGCCGCTCCCTGGGTTTAGCCCTGTTCCTTGAAAGAACGTTAGGAACGGAACATTTACATTTTGTAGGGCGTCTCCAGCAAAGGCTAAGTGACTCTCGGTGGCGAGGGCAGATGTTGAGTATGTTGACATTTCGAGGCGGAGCGAACATAGACGCCCTTGACAAAATAAAATCGACTTTATTTTCACCACCAGTTAATAGAAGCACTGACTCGTGCGCGCCTATGTATCTCTTTCAAAAGCGGTAAGACTTCTACAGACTTACTCCTATCCTTGGTTCGAAAACCGCAATGGCCGCCAACGATTTCTTGAAAAGAGCAAACTGTTTCTTTATTAGCAGCCATGCCAAACGACTAGGGTCAAATGGGACCGCGCCCTGCTTTTAATGAAAAGTCTAGACCGCACTGTTTTAAATGTAGGAGAAGAAGTCTAGACAGTACAATTTCATATAGTTTTTATGCAAAATTAAATCCTTGGTTGTTAGCAGGGGATGCATTGAGTATAGATCTGAAAGATTAGACTTAAACACGAAAAAAGCTTTTGGGGTGAAAAAGCAGAGTTCTATCGCGTTTGCGATATGTTTACTTGGAAATGGAAATAAAAAAAACAAAGAAACAAACAGAGGTATCCAGCTTGAGGTTTTCTGTAATATACTGTTTTCTACACTCTATAACAAGTCTCAATAGAACATAAATAATCCATGCTTTAAAGCCACCTTTAACCTGAAAATTTAATTTACTATTGGTCTTCCGTGGGTCGTGCAAATTATCTTCCTAACATTCATAGTACATAGCGGAATATTATGAATATTACTGTACCATTTTTAAAGTTGGACAATATATTTGCTAACCCATTGCAGTTAACACTGACTTTTAAGAAAACAGGGCACCTAAAAATACAAGAAAAATGAAATTGCTAGGCCGGGAATGTTTTGGTTTCCCACGTCATAATCTTTAAAATCTTTAAAATGACTGGTCACGCATTCAGATGTTCCTTCCTTTTAGGGTTTGTTTACTCACTGTCGCCGTTCAGAAACAAAGGAACCAAATTGAGCTAGTTTATTTTAACACAGGAAAAGGGACTGCAAAATTTATTCATTTAAGAATTAACACTCAGACGAGAATTATTTTTTGATGTCATTCAGATTTTGCAGTCACTGGAAAACAGACCTAGCCTCAGGTTCTCTCGCACTCGCGATTGGAATATTGAAAATATCAGGGGCACCCAACGAGAATATAGTTCAAAACCACTTAAACATAGCATTGTTAAACGTATTTTAGTATTTAAACGGTAGATATAGGCATATTTTTATCCCCTAAAATTTTTTCATCTGTTCGGATTTCCTAGCTGAAAGTCTAGTGATCCGAAAATTATAGGGATCAAAACTTACCTTTTCGAATATTTCAGCCAGAAAAAAGGCTCCCGAAAATTCTAGGTGACCTTTTAAGGGTAAAAATCCGTTAAACATGGGCAAATATAGTAGTTTTTAGATGTTCGAAAATCCTAGGAGAGGCACGCAAGCAAAAATTTTGCAACAAATGTTCCGAAAATTCTAGATCTCAAATCGTCTTCCGAACAGATATTTTTCCGAAAATTGTCGTTGGATGCCCCTGAAATATATCCACCCGTTTATGAAAGTCAGGTCAATTCTGTCACTGGGCTATTTTGCCGTGTTCGACGGCTAATTTTAGGCCCGAGGACCGTTGAAATCGAAAATTCAGATATCTCCTAAACTCGGCCACATTTTGAAGTTCAAACCTCAGCAGCGTTATAACTCATTAAAAGCTTATTACAAACTGAAAATGAGGGTAGGTTAAGTTTGGAGCTGTGGCCACGGTTTGCTCGATTTTTCTGAACATTCGCTCTTAAGCAACAACAACTACGGCTACGAAAACGTCACTTAAAAAATAAAGTGTCCCTGTTTCAAACTTTATCGCGCTAATTCCATCATGTTCAATTTGCCAAATGTTGGCAATTTTTTTCCTGGAGTTGAATTTTAAAAGACTGTATCAAAGTTCAGGAAAAGAAAAACCTTGTCTTGTGTTCACATCCTTACAAAACGTGAAATTGGGCATTTTCATGTCGTAGTCGTGCAGTGACGTGAAAGAAATGTACAGAGAAGCGTGATGCATTTGCAAAGTAATGTTGTTTTGCCAATCTAAACCTATAGCTTTTTTGCCGTTCAAGTTGATGTCGCCGTCGTCGGTTGCCTAAGCTCCCTATTAACACCGTCTAGTGTAAATGAACGTCATGATCATGATAGAAACCATTGCTTCAGTTTAAAGTCACTAAAATCTTGTATCGTAAATAACGTTTTCCGCCGGTTTCTCATTACGAACACAGCATCTACTCCGATTGTTTAGAAAGTACTTGAAAGTAGCCCGATATCTAGGGATTCTCCAGGCGTACAAAAATGGGTTCACACCAGAATTGCCGTACACTAAACCTTGTGTAAGTCCAAATGCAAGAATAAGTTGTGATAAATTTCCATTGCATTGGAGGCAAAAAAACATTAACAATTGTACAATAAGCCAGGGTATGAAAGAGACAAGAAATACACAGATAACAGTTGCGACAGCTTTGGAGAGATTTCTTTCAGCTTGAAATATTCGTCGATGACGATTGGCCGTACTGTCATGTATTATAGCAGACCTGGAATATTTGTGAAAGCGATATAGCATCACAAAGTACGTGAGGAAAATACATATAAGAAAAGAGAACATTTGTAAGTTATTTATCGCCGCTAGTATTGTGAAATGGTCTTGTGACAGACTAAACGCGAAGCCAAAGAGAAGAAAATATACCCAGCATGTAACAGTTGCGATACAAACTCGCTTTCTTGTTACTTTTGTTCGATATTGAAGTGGAGTTACCAATGCAAAGAACCTGTCAATTGTCAACAGAAGCATGTGAGTAACGCTGATATTTAAAAAGGTAATACTAAATGTCACTGGGCCAAAGGTCGGATTCTTCATTTGATGAACAGCCCAACCCCAGTACGCTGTCAATGGACAAGTAACTATCCCAACCATTAAATCGGCAACTGCCATAGATAATATAATATAGTTTGATGGCCATGACCAAAGCTTCTTCAGAGGATCTTTCCAAATGGAGAAAACGACCAGTAAATTTCCGAAAACGATGATAGGTGATAGAATTATTACAGAAACTGCAACAATTATTGGTATAGTCTGTGAATTCCCGGTACTCAGCCAAACTTGTTGCAAAATTGAATCGCCCGTCCAATTCCAGAAATTTAAGTGACCTGTAACGGCAGCCATTCTCGAGAAAAGAGTAGTTCAAGTTTGAAGCGTTCGTTATTGGCGCTAATGACTTCAGAATCCTCACACTTTGTACTTTTTGTTTAATGTGCTATTAGTTAAAAAAAAGGTACTATGACGTCATGAAGGTATTATTTCAGGTGTTTATTACATGCCATTTTCCAACACAGGGCTTTACCATAAGCAAAACGTGATGATTTATAAATCAATTCAATCACATCTTTTTTTGGAAGTGGTTTTCATAAAGGCTTAATATCACACAGAAATCGCAAAAAAATATAGGCAAACGCTAAGGCCTGGCATTGAAACTCGACTTTTTTATTTTATTTTTCTTTTCCCTTACCGGTAAACATTATTTCTGTTCAGAAAAGAGGTATTGTTGTGCCTTTGAAGTATAATGAGAAAAATGGCTTACTTTCAAAGAAGATAACTTATTATATCCGGTGCATTTGCAATATTTGTGGAATAGAATTAGCGACAGGAAACTGACCTTTCTTAGGAAGCATATGAATATGCAATTGTGGCTTAGTATTCGAGCATGAATGCACCATAAAAACTTGTATAATAATAATAGAAAAAACGGCCGCTTTTGGTGCAGCTGAGTGACTAACACCGTCATTTCGAACATGAAGAAAGGACGATTTCTATGTCTTTCCTATAGAGCGGATTCTGAAACTTGAGGGATAAATCTATCATGAAATATAATTGAACCTCTGTTAAGCGGCCAGCCATTAACCCGCCACCCTTTATTAAGCGGCCAGTGATCAAAGTTCCGAAAACAATTGTAGGATAGAATTGTAACTTTACCCCCATTAAGGGACCACCTTTACTAAGAGGCCGCGGCCACCTTTTTGCTATCCCGACGAGAGCTCTCCCATCCTTTTTCACCTCTATTAAGCGGCCAACAAAAAACACTTTGTTTGGCTTTGTTTGAAAGTGTACTGAAGGAAAATACAGTCTGAGATAGAAAGTGACAACTGATTGTGGACCCGCAATGTACGGTTTCAGAAACAGACATTGCCGCCTTAGTTCGATTATATAGTTTACTGAGGGCATAGTAAACACTGTACTATTATTGTTCGTGCAAAGTTGGGAGAGCCTCACGACAACATTTTAAGGAAAATTTGCTTGTTTGTTACAATACTCTAGTATTTTTGTTTGGCATAAGAACTCTCTCCTGTACGAAAGACGTCAGAGGCCTCTAAAGGTGTTTGTTTCAGAATAAAGTGAAGTTTCTGCTTAAGGTTATGCTAATATCTGACGAACTCTAACACGTATTTAGCGGCCAACCTCCATTAAGCGGCCACCCTAATGGTTAAGGCAAGTGATTCAGCTGTAAGGTGTTTTTGTTTTATATTCAGTATTGGAGACACCCTTGTCAAAGTTAAACACAAAATAGGCTCAAATCCTCAAATTAAAAGCGGATCATTTAAGAGAGATGGATTTTCAAAGGGAAAATTCACAAGACAGACGTGCATTATGTGTTAAAAACACTCTACAAATGCAAGTAGCTAAATTGAAAGCACAATTCAGATAATACCCTTAAGGTTGCTTAATGCAGGAGCGTAATATATTCTGATTTAAAAGGCAAGGCGTTTCAAGCCGTGGCCATTGATGTTGAGCCTTCATTGCGGTAAATCTGCACTATTTGCAAAGACGGCTGTCATTAGTTTAGTTTATTAAAGGAACAAAACAATTCAGAAAGCTCCAAAAGCAATAGGAGGTTCAGGTTATGGGAGAACAATGGAAATAGAGGTTTAGAAAACGTCTGTTATTGCATTAGTGATGGGTAACGTTTTAGTAATAACCCCGAAGTGACAAATATCGGCCATCGCTGTGACCACATCACAGGCAGCTACAATAATATACAACTAATATCTTTGACAAAAAAATTAAGATTAATGAAACGTATTAGGAATTTGTACACGTCTCTTAAAATCAGGAAAAGTTCTGTACCTTAATTCGTCAGGAAGAGCACTGAAACCCCGGTTTCTTTTTTCTCTCTTATTTTATTGTAATTTTTTATTATCAAAAACCATTCTCTTCAGGAAGGAAGGAGATATAATTGTGAACGCATATAGCGTTATCATAAATGAATAAATAATCTAAACATCTGAAATAAGTGGAGATTACTTTTAGTATACTTAAAATAATATTACTCACTATCAATATTTGTGGAATAGAATAAGTTAGTGGAAACTGGGGTTCTCATAGAAAGCAAAGGTGACAAAAAAACCTTTCAAAAATGAATTAAAGGGCCGGTAAAAAAATGGTGTAAGGGACGGTTTTGAGTTTGCTATAATGTGAATCCTGCCAACAATTTGTCAATAGGCACGTCAGGCTCCAATTAAGCTATAACCTTAGACTGATAGTGACACTTTGAAGAATCTCTAAAAACTTGGTAGGATTTACAAGATAATATTTGCGAGCTACTGGTTTAAAAATAAACTTTACAAAGAATTTACAGCTCGTAATGTTACTCAAAGCAAATCTGCAAAATGTCTGATAGAGCCTCAAAATAATTGCATTGAAGGCATTTAAATTGCTCAAAAGATGCCAAGTTTAAACGGCTGTTTCTACTTTTATCCAGCGAGTAAAAGGACGTAGGCCAATGCGAAAGTACCACAATATTCCTTAAATTACCATTTGAATAGAAACAGTGCCAGGGGCTCTGCTCAAAGCTCAAAGCGAACAGAGTTCACGCAATGATTTAAAATGACTAGTATTGTATTCGGTCAACGCAAAATACCTCTCCAAATACATCATTTTTCATGCTTATTCCAAAAAACAAAAGCAAAAACAAATTCTGCGCTTATGTTACGCTAAGTTAAAAGAAAGCTCGTGAAGACATTAGAAATATTGTTTTAGTGAAATTCGATCAAACTTGCCGTAATACGGATTCGAGTTAAGCCCTCTAAAAGCGATGTTAAAAGAAACTCGTTCTGTATGTACAATACTTCCTCTTAATTTACAGGCAACCATTCTTAAAGAAGTAGTCTTTTATTCAGGATAAAAAAAGGGCACCGCTCACATATAATAATTATGAAAACGATTTAAAATCAAACTATCTAGGCAATCGTAAAAACATGGTTTATCTGAAATTGACACTAGGAATGCTTTTCAAATTTAACGTTTCTGCTTATATTCTTTTTTCTCCTCTAGGAAAACATTACGTAGAGACGGCAGTAGTGTTGCGTATTTCAAATACATAAGTCGTTTAACACTGATATTCAGAAAGGTAAAACTGAATCTCACGGGTCCAAAAACAGGTTTCTTCGTTTGGTAAACAGCACAACACCACTACGCTGTCAATATACTAGTCACGAACCCAACCATGAAATCAACAACTACCATCGATAATATAATAGAGTGTGATGGCCATGACCAGGGCTTCTTCAGAGGGTTCTTTCCAAGTGGAGAAAAAGACCAGTAAATTTCCAGAAACTATGATGGGAGACAAAATCGACACAGAAATTGCAACAATTAACGATACGGTTTTTGAATTCCCGGCACCAAGCCAAACTTGCGCCAAATCGAATCGCCCGTCCAATTCCTGAAATCTCAGTGACCTATAAGGGCAGCCATTCTCGACAAAAGTGCAGCATTATTTATCCGAAGGCATTAACATAAAAAAATCATACTATAACCAACTGAAGAATCACATCTTTGTGGAAAGAAAGTGGTTTTTGCAAAGGAATGTTAAATTATATCGCGGGATAAAATTATATTCCTATTCTGTTTTGTTTTTTCATTACCGGTAATCATTAATCAGAGAGGTATTGTTGAGCCGTCAACGCATTATGAAAAATGAGTTTCTTTCAAAGACTATGAGGACAAGCGCCAAAGATAAATCTAATAGATCGGGTATTTGCAATATTTTGCAATAGAATGAGTTAGACAAAATTGACTTTATGTAAAAGGGAAAATTGACGAGAAGATAGAAGGTCTTAAAATGCTGGTTTTATTTCAAAAGAAAGATAGAGTAAAATGTGAAAAAAGACTTTCCAAGACCAAGTAACCAAATTCAAAGCACAATTCAGATAAAACCCTTAAGCTTGTTAAAACAGGGGAGCAATATTCTGATTTCTAAAAGCAAGGAGTTTCGCTCTTGGCTATTGACTTTGAGCCTTTTTAAGGTCAACCTGCACTTTTTGCAAAGAAGGCTGTCATCACAATAATTTGATGAAACAATAGATAACGGACCAAAACAATTCAACGAGCCCTAAAGCAACGGGAGGTGCAATTAATGGGAGACCAATGAGAATAGAGGTTTAGAAGGGGTCTGGTAATGCGTTAGGCAATTTTCATCTTTACTTAAAAAAAAAAGGGTTTACTTGACACGAACACCAGGAATGATAAGGAGATTAGGAGATTAGGGGTGCGGGCCATTTTTGAGAAGTGTCTTGCTACTGCGGAGGTAGGCATCGGATCGAGTCCATTTTAGGCCTCTAAAAATTGCGTTGTAACATCGAGGCTTTAAAATCCATATGTTTGATGCATAATTCCTCCGTAAACTCTAAAACGATGGCCGTCCGTTCAGATGCAAAATCGAGTAATGATTTAAAATTATTGATGACATATATTTGACAAGCTAATTACAATTGTGACGAATCATTTCCCTAAGGGCTTTAGGGATATTTATTTTCTTTATGGAACTATTAACTCTTGTTGTAAGTAAATAATGAAAATCAGTAAGATAACTTCCAAAGGCTACCCAGGGCAAATAATTCCTAATTGTGTAGTTTGAGGTCAAGCAGAAAAAAATTTCAAATTAAGCAAGAGTACCTTTACTGACTAGCAATCAAGATTGGAAGGCTTTGATGATGATGATGATGATGATGATGATGATGATGTTTTGCATATGCGGAGATTCAAGTGTATCGGGGCGGAAGACGAAACACCCCGACAGGAATTTTTGAGAGTTGTAGAAAGAGAGATGCATGAAGAGAATGTGCCAGTAAAAGCGCGGCCCAGACCTGAACCAAGGAGGAAAGCGAGAGAGATGCAATTGCCACGGAAGGATCATGGGACTAGCTGGTTCTGTGTCGGGTACATTGCAAAGAACTTACAAAGTATCTGCACTATGTCATAAAAAAAGACAAACCGGTGGAGGCAGGTGTCACGCACATTAATTTTAGCACCCATTTTGCCCGCATTGGCTTTTATCAGTCAATAACAATAACTAGGGGTGGAGATTGGAAAAAAATATGTTCTGAGAAAATGCCGAAGTAGTCTTTACCACACGGTAAAATAAACATAATCCGGTGTAAAAGTGATATTACCTTCATTTTGAAAGAGATAGAAACCTACAATACTCTTCATTTAATGGCTAAGATGAAGCCCACAAAAACAATTCTGGGTTGTTTCCAAATAACTTCCGTCTTTACAGACAATATAAGTCGTGCTCGAGCTCAAAGTTACACTATAGTATAGATTTACAGAAATTATGCGTTCCCTTTTCATGTTTGGATAAGAAAGGAATCATGACGGTTCGTTAATTGTTTAAGTGACAACTTTCTTCCTTTTGCATTTCTCCTCTAGCTGTAAGGAGTAATCAGCTGTAAACTGAACACCAAAAGTGTTTGAACAAAGACGGATTTGATAAGTCTGGCATTACGTGATTGGATAGTTAAGGGACGTTTTTTAAGTTTATTGCCTACGTCATGAGGAATCGCTTACTCAAAGTGGAGACTGTTACATGTTAATTTGACACGAATTCAAATATATCTTACCTAACTAACAGCCTTGGTATATTGACCGAATAAAAATAGAAAGAGAAAGTACTACGTGGATATATAGGTATCCGAAGGTAAAGATCTTGACTGAAAATGGCTGCGATCAAAGGCAATACCGATATTTCCAATATGACAAGCGACAAAGATTTAGGTAAAGGGTGGCTGAATGTGGGGAATTCACCCACCATATCTATGGCTTTTTCCATTCCTGCGATGGTCATGTCTGCTATTATCGTTTTCGGAAATTTATTAGTCGTTTTATCAGTCTGGAAAGATCCTTTAAAAAAACTCAGATCTTCGCCTTCTAATCGCATCATCGTATCGATGGCAATTGCTGATCTCCTTGTCGGTTTGGTGGTGTGTCCATTAATGGCGTACTGGGTTTGGGCCATTCTTCATCAGAAAAATCTGACATCAGTGCTAAAGTCCTTCTTCGTCTTAACAGATGTTAGTTCGGGACACGTGTTGCTTCTCACTGTAGACAGGGTTTTTGCTTCAGTGACCCCTTTGCAGTATCGAGTTAAAGTAACAAACAGACGAGTTTGCATCGCGAGTATCGCATGTTGGGCGTATTTCATACTCTTTGGGTGTGCATTTGGTTTGTGGGAAAAAGGATACATCATTCTGATCAAAATATTCATTGTACAAAGCCTCTTCATTCTTGTAAGCATCTTAGTTTTAAACTTGGTCATTTTCTTTGCCTTCCGAAAGCACCGCAAGACAACAGCAGCACAAGACCCCTCGACGGGAAATCGCCAAATAATGCTTCAGAGAGAGAGGAAACTATCCAAGGCCATCGCAGTCGTGATCTCTGCGTTTCTTCTATGCTCCGTGCCGTGGTATATAGTGCAGTTTCTGATGTACTTTTGCACTCCATGCAGCCCCCATTTAAGGTTGTTGCTGTTGGGTCATACAGTGACGGCTGCTTTATTGTATGCCAATTCTGGAGTAAATCCATTTTTGTACGCATGGCGACTTCCCCGATACCGAGAAACCTTCAAACATTTCTGGAAAAAATGCCAAGAACGATGCTTTAGTCAGAACAGCCAAAACGAAAACTTTGTTTGTGAAACAAGGCTCTAATGTTTTAAGGAGAAGGCTGAGTGAGTGTGTGTAGAATCCCAGTTGATGTGTATCGTAAATATTGCTCTGCCACAGAAATGCAAATGTCAAGCCGAGCTACCGAGATAAACTTTCATGACTAATAATATTGGTAATCGCCATCAACCCGGTGCTGTTACAAATGTAAACCCGGCAAAACTTTTTATTACTCTAACGCGCCATCTACACACGGAAGATGCAATTAGATTAGATAAGAACGGGAGTGTTTTAGCACCCACCTACCAAAATAATAACACTCACGCAAATGTTTAGTACTTGCATATAAATAAGGATTCTGGTAAAAGTATTAAAATGATAAGGATTCTGCATGAAAGCACTGTAAGAGATAATGAGTTCAACTGCGTTTCATTGTTTACACAGCTTTTCGCACAAAGATTTGAGACTTGGCCAATAATACAGCAAAGTAATATTTCTGATTTTTTAAGAACGACGTCCCAGTCTGTAAAGCGTGATAAACAAATTGCTGACTCATGTATTTTGTTCGAGAGAATATCTTTCCGTAATTAACCTTAAGGTGGAAACTTTACATGTGCACTGTGAAAGTGAGAAATAACTTCGTTTTTCTCATATTGATTACAGGAAAACGATGAAGCGAAAAAAGTCTTAAAGTTGTCGAGTTTTTCGTGCTGTGATCATTTGAACCTTGATACTTCATCTGTGTTCGTTATAATGAATTATGGTTTAAGTCAATGAGCATTCAGATTTTCTTACAGGGCACTCGGAAATGGCCTAAATTTAGCGTGCTGCGGTGTTTTATGCGTCCTAACAACGAGTTGCGTCATTCTAAACTTGCCAGGTAAAAAAATTGTCAGAAATCTACTGCTAAAACATAGGCAAACACACTCGCGGGACATTCACACTGCTATCTTTAATCTAATAATTTTGCGATGAAGTCTTGGCATTTGACTAATCGGTACAATATACCTTTACAAAAATCCGGACCAAAAAAAGTAATATTAGCTTCAAAATGAACGAGATAAAAATCTCTTTATTATCCATGCGGTCGATAAAAAAGTCGCAAATAACGATCATGGAGTAATTAGCCTCAAGGTAGAACTGAAGTCTACCCCAGCAATTATTGCTCGCTCAGATCACCGGAAGGTTACCTCAAATGATAAGAACCTTTATTGAAAATCCAAAGGCACATTAAAAGAATACAATTATCGAAAAGACGTGAACGCACACAAAATTAAAAGAGAATTTAAACTAGAGACATGGCCACTAAATAGCATGTATTTGAAAAACACATGAATCACTAAATCTTTTTATTTTTCAAATGACCAGTAACTTTCTTTGTAGTCCTTCTCTTGATTTAAGAAATATGATCAGCTCTAAACTGATCACAAAAAGTAGAGAAATTTAATAGGTCTGCCATAACTTGATTGGATAGTTAAAGGAGGTTCCTTTGTTTAAAGACTATGACGTCGTAAGACATGGTTCCCCCGATGTCAACACTGTACCATTTTAATTTGACTCATATCACTCAACATACTGCCTTGGCATATTGATCTGACCAGAAAAGAAAAAAGAAAAATTTTAGGTCTCACCGGGTAACTTAAAATGGCTGCAATCGCAGACAATACCAATTTCTTCAATATGACAAGCGACAAACTTTCAAGTGATCTGTGGCTGACTGTGGGGAATTTTAAGACCATATCAATGACTACTTCTATTCCTTCGATGGTCATGTCTCCTGTTATCGTTTGTGGAAACTTACTGGTCGTTTTATCAGTTTGGAAAGATCCTCTGAAGAAACTAAGGTCTTTGCCATCTAATCGCATCATCGCATCGATGGCAATTGCCGATCTTCTGGTCGGTGTAGTCGTGTGTCCGTTAATGGTGTACTGGGGCTGGGCCATTTTCCACAACAAAAAGCTAACATTTCCAGCGCTCAAAGCTTTTTCCGTCTTAGTGGATGTTAGTGCGGGACACGTTCTGCTCCTTACTGTCGACAGGGTATTTGCTTTAGTAACCCCTCTCCAGTATCGAGTTAAAGTAACAAACAGACGAGTTTGTATCGCAAGTATTGCATGTTGGGCATATTTCATACTCTTTGGATGTGCATTTGGTTTGTGGGCAAGAGAAGATCTCATTCTGGGAATAATCTTTAATTTACAAAGCCTCTGCATTCTTATAGGCATATTGGTGTTAAATTTGGTCATTCTATTTGCCTTTCGCAAGCACCGCAAGACTATAGCAGCACAAGCCCAGTCGACGGCAAATCGCCAAATGATGCTTCAAAGGGAAAGGAAACTATCCAAGGCCATTGCAATCGTTATCTGTGCGTTTCTTATATGCTTCGTACCGTGGTTTATAGTGCAGTTTTTGCTCTATTTTTGTGCACCATGTACCCGTCAATTATCGCGGTTGATGTTAGTTTATACATCGACTGCTGCGTTATTGTTTGCCAATTCCGGAGTAAACCCATTTTTGTACGCGTGGCGGCTTCCCCGGTACCGAGATACGTTCAAATACTTTTTGAAAAATCGGAGAGAGTACTGTTTCATTAAAAAGAGCCAAGTTGAAAACTTTGCTTCTGAAACAAGGTTGTGAAGATTAGAGGACAAGGTTGAGTGAGTGCATAGAATCTCTGAACTGCAAATGTAAAGCTCCTAATACGAGCAGCCTTGTCACTTTCGGGACTTGTAACTTGCCATTAACGGATCCAAAAGCTTCTAAAACAGAACTTGGAAATATCACCAGTAGCAACAAAAAAAGCGTACTTCCATGCACGTGACCCGGCAAAGGTTTGGCACACTGCAAGAAGATGTAAATTAGATTAGTAGTAGCATAAACAACGCCCTTGCTGTCAATATTGATTGTATAAAGCAGCTTGTGATATGCGTGGAAGCGTTATCTGTTGTTCTTTTCTCACCTCTAGGGAAAGCCAGCTACAAAATAAAGGAAGGTGTAATTAGATTTGTTAAGAACGGAGTGTTATAGTGCCCAACCGGGGAAATAATTAGAATGATGTAAAAGTTTTTTTCCCGATAAATAAGGATGTTAGTAAAAGTATTAAAACAACGAGCATTCTGCATGAAAGCGCTTCAGAGATTGAAAAGAGTTCAACAGCGTTTCAGTGTTTACACAGCTTTTCTCACAAAGATTAGAGACTTGTTTATGATGCAGCGGTGTAATATTTGTGATTTTATGTTTTTGATAATAACAATAATAATAATAATAATAATAATAATAATAATAATATATTTAGAGAATGATGTCCAGGGGACAAAAACGCGCCTTCACAACGCAAGGGATCTTAAACACAACTTTAATAATCGAGAGTTGCACACGCAGCATATTTTCTTAACAACACAACAGGATCGGAATTGGAGTCTCATCTTAGGCTAACAAGCTTCACCTCGCAAGTAAAAACCTACAAAAAAAAACACTTACACTGTTGGAACGGGATTTGGAAATACAAGAGCTCTTAAGACTCACCATATGATGAGAAACTCCCGGCGACTAGCGCGTTACAATAGGGAGCTTACGAATCGACGACTTTCGCACGACGCCGCTGTTGGGTCACGTCATAGTTCTGCGTTGCCGTCCTATAGAAATTTGAATTTACGATTCGTAGTAAAGACGACGACGTTGGTGCGCGCGGCAGGCAAATTTTCCCGCCGTTTCTGAAGTTTGTTTTCTTCTTTTCACAAGTAAGCTTATTTGTTCAACCAAAATGTCTAAATTCATAAGAGAAACGAGAGCTCGTATTGCAGACGCTTATGGAAACAGATTTAGACCGAGTATTTCACTGTATTTGTACTTTTATACGTTTCGTCAACAAACTCAGAGTTAACAACGGATTTAGACAAGACAACAAAGGACGAATGCAAGGCGCGTTTATATACAGGGAGGGCATTTATAAACTTGCTGAACAGCTGTAGTTACTGTGATAAGATAATCACTTGCAATGGTCTAGTTGTAGCTTTGGTACCATCTTGACTCGGTGTTAATTTATGCTTGTCTACAGCTAGCTATGGTGTTGATTCTTCGGGTCGTTACTCCAATGAAAACAGACAAACAAATCAAAAACAAATGTAAAGAACATATCCCTAATGTGATACTTAAATCATCGGGCAATATCCGCTGACGTGTGTAGGGAAAACTTTGAAAATTAGTCTCACGTCCTGCTTTTTCTACGACGCCGGCGAATCGCTGTCAACAACGGCGTCGACTTTGGCGCGACGCCGGCAAGTGCCCAGACAAGCATGCGTAGTAAGCCTGTCACGCAGTCCAACGGCGTCGTCGTGCGAAAGTCGTCAATTCGGAAGCTCCCTACTTTCTCACTACACGACGACACTGAGACGCGCTCACTAAGCATGCTGGGAGTATAAATTACAAAAATGGAATGGAAAGGACTTAGGAAAACAAAAATTGTTCTCTTGTTGAGGATTGGCCTCAACACATGATACAAAGTTTCAATGCTGTAACAGTAACCTTAAGGAAATTTAAAAACATATATATTTAAAATTAACAGTACATAGAAAAACCCTCTATAGAAACAAAGAACACCTGAAGACCTGGGGATTTTTATTCTAGGGGATTTGCTTCTATCAAGGATTGCCACTGAAAGAAATGTATGTCTGTTTTCAAGAATGCTAGGGCGAGGGCTTACTAGAGAGGGGGCCTTATATGATACGCAAAGAGCTCGAGAAGAAAAGGGAAGAGTTGAAGCACCTGAAGTACAAGGTGATGCCACTCGAGATAAAGAACGATAAAAATTCACTTGCCTAAAACATAAAACAAACTTCCAGAAACCAATGATTGTACATCGTGAACATCAAAGAGTATGTGTCTTAAATGCAACTGTGGAGTACTTAATACACAAGGTATTTGATTAAATTACAGAAGATTAATTAGTCATCCCCACCGTGGGTTTTGGTGAGTGAGATGAGTCCCCGCAGGTACACTCAGGTTGGTTCTGTGATGTCCACTACAGTCTCTTCTATTTTAAGTTCTGAAGAAAGTGCTCATAACGTATGGTGACTAATTGTGGTGTGAATCCTAAAACGTCACTCTGAGAACTGATAAGGTAATGTTACTACTTTACGGAGCATGCCAATCCATACTGACAGAGAGATAATAAGTAACCAACAATTCTGACGTAAAGTTAGCAGCTCGACATGATGTGTGTTCCATGGACCAACTTACGGGGAACCTTCAGGGGTCCTCATTATGAGGGTCTACTTTCAAAGAATTACCTATTTAAGAGGACTTTTTGTGCGGGGACTCGGAAATGGACTCGAAATGTCCCAATAATTTGAACAGACCCCACTTTCCTGGTGTGTTTTCATATAAATGTCCCCACAAGTGGGCAGCGGTGAGTGCACGCACACACACCCACACACACCCCTACATTTGGGACTTTAAGCAAAGAGTACGGAAGGGTCTAGTACGGTGACCAGAAGTAACTTTTTTCGCCACCCGTCAACGCCTCATAATCAGGGAGTTTAACATACAACTGTACCACGACGGCTTTAGCGGTGGAAACGACGCTTAAAAGTGTATTCGCGTTCTTTTATTGTTAATCGCGATTATTTCAAAATGTTGGCGAACTCCTCTGAAGCTGAAAACGTGCAGTGACCCCCCATGGCAAGGCAATGTTAAAAAAATTATATTCATAAAAAAGTGCGTTGCATGAGCAAATTCAGGACTTGCTTGTGTTCACACCACTTGGTGAGACAATATCCCTTATAAAATATCCTCTTTTCCGTGAACTGTATTTTGCGTCTTTGGCAGCACTTTTTACTTGGGTGTCGTGCTTGACACCGAATTTGGGGCTCATGCTCGAAAAATAAGCCTTCAAGGATGACCAAAACAGCATGAAACATTCATATCTTGCGATTCTTTTCAAATATACCCTGGCGTTCTAAGCACCTAAAATACAACTAAATACTTAATGTACTAGACACTGCCGGGATGAACTTCCACGTATTCGGGACAAGTAGTACGGGCCAGTCAGTAAGTTTAATTAGCAAATCAATAACTTTGCACGTGCATTTCATTGTATTATCAACATTTCTTTGCCATCACTGCACGACCACGACGTGAAAATACGTAATTTCACGTTTTGTTGAGGACGTCAACAAAGGAAGACAAACTTTTTTCTCTATGAGTTCGCCTACATTTGATAAAGTAAGAGACTCATCAGTAATAATCCGGGAAAGTTTGAAAGAATGCGAATTCACTTTTTATTAAAAAGCGACGTCATGGTGCCTTGAACTTGAGGCATTGGCGTGTGGCGGGAAAAAAATTACGTCTGCTCACCGTACTAGACCCTTCTGTACTCGTTGCTTAAAGTCCCTATTGTATAAACTGCCACAGTTGGACAAATATTTTCAGCTTAGCTAAAAAATTCATACAATTGTCTTTGAATGTAATTGATGCAGTTCTAGTTATGTTTTTAATAATATAATTTTTTTATCATTATTTCAATAGATCAATTTCTCTTGGTTGGCAAGGAAGTTTGGAGCATCAGCGAAGACAAAAGTGGGAAACATGGTTATGAAAGAATTTCTTAAGAAAAAATGGGGTGAATGTTGAATTGTTCAAGACCCATTGAAAACTGGTCCACTTCACAGAAAGAAAAAAAAAAGAAAACTTTGGAGGGGAGATCACAACACCAGTGCCCAGTACAAGTGCAGTCATAACGGAAACCCTTCGACAAAAAATTACAAATGGGAAATATCTCTTGGAAGAAGTGATAGCACCAAAGTCCTGTCAAAAGTTAACAATAGATTCAAATGGTTCTCTAACAAAAGAATACTTCAGTGAGTGGCAGAAAAAATTATTTTGAACAAATAAGGCGGAATCTACTACAAGAACATGAGGAGATGGGGTTGGTGGGAGACCACTCAGATGAACATTACAGGGATTGACAAACAAAGAATTGGAAAAGCACCTCAGGGATAATTGGAGAATTTAAAGAAGAGTCAGATGGTGAAATGACAAGGGAGGAAGTGGCAAATTTACTAAAACACTGGGAGCGAACACGGCACCTCATGTTCTGGTCTAACCATTCAAGTATCATGAGTCATGGACACATTCTCTTAACAGTAACTGCTATTTCTGACCCAGCATTTTACTATACACCAGAAAAGCTTGGTGGAAGAAATGTGCAAGATTTAATGGAAAAGCCACAAATTTACCTCCTGGCAAGATACAGAGACACCTTGAGGATCAGTTGTTGTACAGAAGACATCCAACAGGTCACCACTAAGATCGACTCTTCTCACAACGTGCCAATCACTGGCATCTGCCTATTGTTCCCTGGCGACCATCCAGCACAAGAAGTTAAGAGTGGTGAGCAAATTGGTGGAAACGTTAGCTGCTGTGGTTGTACTACGTCATCAGCACAGTACCCTGACCACATAGCTCCACAACAGACTCGGGAAGAACGATGGAAACGTCATTGCAGGTCCAGCTGGACAAGAAAAGAGAAATGGAGGTACACGTTAAGACGAGTTGATTAGAGAGTGTAAGGGTCGAAATCTCCCAACAGATGGATTGCTGAAACCAACCAATTGAGAAAAGAGTTGAAGGGTATTTAGTGGTCCCTGCATTGTCTTTCCCTCATCAACTTGGTTTAATGAAAGACCTCAACTTGGCCCAGTATCAGGTAGTGCCAGTGGAGCCTTGCTGAACTCTGTGAAATATTGTACACTCCTGCAGACAGGCGCACCCCTCTTATTTTACGCCTACATAATGTGACAATCTGTCATGCTATCGCAATTCAGGAAATATTTAATACCACAGAGTTCTTGACACGAAGATGGCATACACTACCACAGCATAACCTGCCACGCCTCTCTGACATCACGTTTAATCTTAGTTCAGTACACACAGAGGAAGAAGAAAGGAATTTCAGCGCCATCAACTCTATCAGTAAGACATCTTCCAATGGCTACCCAGAGCAAATAATTCCTAATTGTATAGCTTGAGCTTGAGCAGAAAGAATTTTCAAACTAAGCAAGATGATGATGATGATGTTTTGCATATGCTGGGATTCAAGTGTTTCGGGGCAGAACACGAAACACCACGACAGGAATTCTTGGGAGTTGTAGAAAGAAAGATGCATAACAAGAACGTCCCAGTAAAAGTGCGGCCCTGACCTGAACCAGACAATGAAAAAGATAGAGATGCAATCGACATAGATATGGATCATACCACTGGCTGGGTCTGTGCTGAGTACATTGCCAGTGAACGAACAAAGTATCTGCACCTTCTACAAAGGAAAAAAAAAGAAAAATTGTTGGGACAGGTGTAAAGCAGCTTAATTTTAGGCTCCATTTTGCCTGAATTGGCTTTTATCCGTTAATAACAATCACTACAACAGGAAGTGGTCTTTACCACTCGGTAAAATATACATATGCAGGGTAAAAAAGTAATAATTTCAAATTGAAAGGGATAAAAACCTACAATACTCTTCGTATTATCGCTAAGATTAAGTCCAGAAAAACAATTCTGGTTTGTTTCCAAATTATTTCCGTCTTTATTGGCGATATAACCATCTAAAAGTCGTGCAAAATCACAAAGTTAAAAGCAAATTAAATCTACCCTGAAGTATAGATTTACAGAGATTATACGCGGTTCCCTTTTCATGTTTGGATTTCAAACGATTCATTAAATTTCGTTAATTTATTATTGTTAAAGAGGCAACGTTCTTCCTTTTGCATTTTTCTCTAGATGTAAGGAGCAATCAGTTGTTAACTGAAAACGAAAAGTATTTGAACAAGAAAGACGGATTTGATTAGTCTGGCATTACTTGATTGGACATTCAGAAGGATTCTTTGTTTAAAGGCTACGCCATTAGAAATCGCTTACCCAAACTCAAGACTGTTACATGTTAATTTGACGCGAATTCAAATGTATCTTGCCTAACTAACAGACTTCGTATATTGACCAGATACAAAAAGAAACAGAAAGCACTAAGCGAATATATAGATATCGAAAGTTAAGATCTTGACTGAAATGGCTGCGATCAACGGCAATACCGAACTTTCAGTCCAATTTGACAAGCGACAAAGACTTAGGCAATAATGTGTGGCTGAATGTGGGGAATTCACACACCATATCTAGAGCTCTCCTATTATCATTCTTAGAAATTCATTAGTCGTTTTATCAGTTTGGAAAGATCCTTTCAAGAAACTTAGGTCTTCGCCTTCTAACCGCATCTTCGTATCCATGGCAATTGCCGATCTTCTGGTGGGTTTAGTGGTGTGTCCATTAATGGTGTACTGGAGCTGGGCTATTTTTCAGCAGGAAAAACTGACGTCAGTGCTTAAATCCTTTTTTGTCTTGACAGATGTTAGTTCGGGACACGTGTTACTTCTCACTGTAGACAGGGTATTTGCTTCAGTGACCCCTCTGCAGTATCGAGTTAAGGTAACAAATAAACGAGTTCGCATCGCGAGTGTCACATGTTGGGCGTATTTCATACTCTTTGGATGTGCATTTGGTTTGTGGGGAAAAGGATACATCATTCTGGTGACGATATTCACTGCCCAAAGCCTCTTCATTCTTATAAGCATTTTGGTTTTAAACTTGGTCATTTTATTTGCTTTTCGAAAGCACCGCAAGACTACAGCAGCACAAGCCCAGTCGACGGCAAATAGCGAAATAATGCTTCAAAGGGAAAGCAAACTATCCAAGGCCATCGCAATCGTGATCTCTGCGTTTCTCATATGCTCTGTGTAGTGTTCTGCATTCTTGTTAGCCACACCCTAACCGCAGATTATAGCAAGATATCATTGTACATGTAAATAGTTGATTGAGTTGTAATAAAGCGGTTGTGTAAAGCACTTGGCCTGATTCATTTTGTACGAACCCAAACTACACAACACTCTCTGCCGAGGTATATAGTGCAGTTTTTGATGTACTTTTGCACTTCATGCAGCCGCCATTTATGGTTGTTGCTGTTGGGTCCTACAGTGACGGCTGCTTTATTGTATGTTAATTCTGGAGTAAATCTATTTTTATACGCATGGCGGCTTCCCCGAAACCGAGAAACCTTTAACCACTTTTGGAAAAATCGGCAAGAGTGTTGCTTTAGTCAAAACAGCCCAAGCGAAAACTATGTTTGTGAAACAAGACTTTAATGATTTAAGGAGAAGGCTGAGTGAGTGTGTGTAGAATCCCAGTTGACTTGTTTCCTAAATATTGCTCTGCCACAGAAATGCAAATGTCAAGCTTCCAAGATCAACTTCCGTGACTAATAACTATTGGTAGCCGCCATCAATCAGGTGCTCTTACCGATGTAAACCCGGCAAAACGTTTTATTACACAAATGCGACTAAGAAGCCATCTACACACGAAAGATGCAATTAGATTAGATAAGAACGGAGCGTTATAGTACCCACCTACGGAAATAATAACACTCACATAAATGTTTAGTATTTCTCTATAAATAATGATTCTGGTGAAGTATTAATTAAAAATGATAAGGATTCTGCGTGAAAGTACTGTAAGAGATTCTGAGTTCAATTGCATTTCAGTGTTTACACAGATTTTCTCACAAAGATTTGAGACTTGGCCAATAGTGCAGCGAAGAAATATTTTTGATTTTTTAAAGAAGGCCATTCAAGTCTGTAAAACCTGATAAATAAATCGCTGACACATGTATTTTGTTTCAGAAAATAATATCTTTTGGTAATTAACCTTAACGAAGAAACTTTATATGTGCACTGTGAAAGTGGGAAATGACTTCGTTTTTCTCATATTGATTTTAGGAAAACGATGAAGCGAAAACAGATTTAAAATTGTCGAGTTTTTCTTGCTGTAATCATGCGAACCTTGATACTTTATGTGTGTTCGCAGCAGTGGATTACGGGTAAAGTCAGTCAGCATTCAGATTTTCCTACAGGACACTCGCAAATGGCCTATCATTTGACATGTTATTGCGTGTATTATGCGCCCTAAAAACGAGTTGAGTCATTCTAAACTTGTCAGGTAAAAATATTGTCAAAAATCTACCGCTAAAACACAAGCAAACACACGCGCAGAATATTCACACTGTTATCTTTAATCTAATAATTTTGCAATGAAGTCTTGGTCTTTGACTCCTCGGTACAATATACATGTAAACATACCAGGTCCAAAAAAGTAATATTAACTTCAAACAGAACGAGATAGAAATCTATTTATTATCCGTGCGGTCGGTAAAATCGCGCAGAATAACGATCATGGAGTTATCAGCATCAAGGAAGAACTGAAGTCTACCCCAGCGATTATTGCTCGCTCAGGTCACCGAAAGGTTATTTCAAAATAACAAAATCCAAAGGCGCACTAACAGCATATACAATTACGGAAAAGAAGTGAACGTCCACAAATTACAAGAGAATTTAAACAAGAGACATGACTACCAAATAGTTTACATTTGGACAACACATGAATCATTAAATCTTTTTATTGTTCAAATGACAAGTAACTTTCTTTCTAGTTCTTCTCTTGATTCAAGAGATGAGGTCAGCTGTAAACTGATCACGAAACTAGAGTGATTTAATAGGTCTGCCATAACTTGATTGGATGGTTGAAGGAGGTTTCTTTGTTTAATGACTATGACGTCGTAAGACATCGCTCACCCGAAGTTAACACTGTAGCATTTTAATTTGACACGATTCGAATATATACCACCCAACCTACAGCATTAGTATATGGGCTTGACCAAAACAGCATTTTAATTTGACTCATATCACTCAACATACTGCCTTGGTATATTGATCTGACCAGAAAAACTGAAATTTTAGAGTTTTAGGCGACGTTTGGCTGACTGGGGGGAATTCAAAGACCATATCAATGACTATTTTTATTCCTTCGATGGTCATGTCTCCAGTTATCGTTTGTGGAAACTTACTGGTCGTTTTATCAGTTTGGAAAGATCCGCTGAAGAAACTCAAGTCTTTGCCATCTAATCGCATCATCGCATTGATGGCAATTGCCGATTTTCTTGTCGGTGTAGTCGTGTGTCCGTTAATGGTGTACTGGGGCTGGGCCATTTTCCACAACAAAAACCTCACTTTTCCAGTGCTGAACGCTTTTTCCGTCTTAGTGGATGTTAGTGCGCGACACGTTCTGCTCCTTACTGTCGACAGGGTATTTGCTTTAGTAACCCCTCTCCAGTATCGAGTTAATGTAACAAACAGACGAGTTTGTATCGTAAGTATTGCATGTTGGGCATATTTCATACTCTGTGGATGTGCATTTGGTTTGTGGGCAAGAGAAGATCTCATTCTGGGAATAATCTTTAATTTACAAAGCCTCTGCATTCTTATAGGCATATTGGTTTTAAATTTGGTCATTCTATTTGCCTTTCGCAAGCACCGCAAGACTATAGCAGCACAAGCCCAGTCGACGGCAAATCGCCAAATGATGCTTCAAAGGGAAAGGAAACTATCCAAGGCCATTGCAATCGTTATCTGTGCGTTTCTTGTATGCTTCGTACCGTGGTTTGTAGTGCAGTTTTTGTTCTATTTTTGTGCACCATGTACTCGTCAATTATCGCGGTTGATGTTAGTTTATACATCGACTGCTGCGTTATTTTTTGCCAATTCCGGAGTAAACCCATTTTTGTACGCGTGGCGGCTTCCCCGGTACCGAGATACGTTCAAATACTTTTTGAAAAATCGGAGAGAGTGCTGTTTCATTAAAAAGAGCCAAGTTGAAAACTTTGCCTATGAAACAAGGTTGTGAAGATTAGAGGACAAGGTTGAGTGAGTGCATAGAATCTCTGAACTGCAAATGTAAAGCTCCTAATACGAGCAGCCTTGTCACTTTCGGGACTTGTAACTTGCCATTAACGGATCCAAAAGCTTCTAAAACAGAACTTGGAAATATCGCCAGTAGCAACAAAAAAAGCGTACTTCCATGCACGTGACCCAGCAAAGGTTTGGCACACCGCAAGAAGATTTAAATTAGATTAGTAGTAGCATAAATAACGCCCTTGCTGTCAATATTGATTGTATAAAGCAGCTTGTGATATGCGTGGAAGCGTTATCTGTTGTTCTTTTCTGACTTCTAGGGAAAGCCAGCTACAAAATGAAGGAAGATGTAATTAGATTTGTTAAGAACGGAGTGTTATAGTACCTAACCGGCGAAATAATTAAAATGATGCAAAAAATTTTTTTCTTGATAAATAAGGATTTTAGTAAAGGTATTAAAACAACGAGCATTCCGCATTAAAGAGCTTCATAGATTTTAAAAGAGTTCAACAGCGTTTCAGTGTTTACTCAGCTTTTCTCACAAAGATTAGAGACTTGGCCAATAATGCAGCGAAGTAATAGTTCTGAATCTTTTTAAGAACGACGTCCCAGTTTGTAAAGCGTGATAAATAGATCGCTGACTCATGTATTTTGTTGCAGAGAATATCTTTCCGTAATTAACCTTAACCTGGAAACTGTACATGTTATTGTGAAAGTGGGAAATAACTTCGTTGTTCTCCTACTGATTTCAGGAAAACGATGAAGCGAAAACAGACTTAAAATTGTCGAGTTTTTCATGCTGTAATCACATGAACCTTGATACTTTATGTGTGTTCGTCATAGTGAATTAGCGGTTTAGTCAATAAGCATTCTGATTTTCTTACAGGACACTCCGAAATCTCCTAAATTTGGCGTAAAAATTCTCGCCAAATTTGGTCAACAGTAGCTGGTTATCGTGAATTATGCGTGTGGTTTTAACCAATCAGAAACGGAGAAATATTTTGAGTGAATAATAATTGCCTTGACTGATGAACTAGATGTATATGTTGGGGTTCAATTTTATCCTTGGTTTAAAGTTTATTTTCCTTTGTTTCAAACTCGTTATCCTACATCACCATAACCAAAAACAAAACAAAACAGAAGAAAATTTAAACCGAAGATGAAATTGAACCACAACATATATTTCAAGGATATGACTGTTAAGAAGACGTAAACGGTTTTGAGGACTTTATAACCAATTTAAGCTACAGACATGTCCACTTAGGTAAATTTAAAAAAAATGTGATTTGATTTCGATTTAAGAGGAGTTTAAAAGCTTTCAGGTATGTTTGGACAACATACGAATCATAACATTTCGTTCATTGTTAAAAGTGACAAGTTACTTCCTTTTTCCAATCTTCAACAATGACATACACCCAGCTGAAATCTTATCACGAAACATGTTAGGACCCAGTAGGAGGATTTAATAGCTCTGGCATTACTTGATTGGATTGTTGAATGAGCCTCCTTTGCTTTGTGACCGTATTACGTCGAGAAAAGTCGCTCACGGCCCAAAGTCAATCCCAAGGGAATGTTGGGGATTTGTCACGAAATCAAAAATCTCACCCAACTAACGGCCTTAATATTCTGAGAAATTTTAAAGAGAACAGAAAGTGAAGCTTTTCGTCTTAAAATGGCTGCGATCACAGGCAATATGACCAGCGAAGATTTAGCGAGCGAGTGGCAGAGAGCAGGAAATTCAAAGGCCATATCTATGACTATTGCTATTCCTTCGATGGTCATGTGTCCTATCATCATTTTTGGAAATCTATTGGTTATTTTATCAGTTTGGATAGATCCTCTGAAGAAACTCAGGTCTTCGCCTTCTAATCATATCATCGTCTCGATGGCAATTGCCGATCTTCTGGTCGGTTTAGTGGTTTGTCCATTGATGGTATACTGGGGTTGGGCCATTTCACAACAGCAAAATCTGACACTTCCAGCGTTGACTTCTTTTACCGTCTTAATAGATGTTAGTGCAGGACACGTGTTGCTTCTCACTGTAGACAGGGTTTTCGCTTCAGTGACTCCTTTGCAGTATCGAGTTAAAGTAACAAATAGACGAGTTTGTATCGCAAGTATTACATGTTGGGCGTATTTCATACTTTTTGGATGTGCATTTGGTCTGTGGGAGAAAGGATACATCATTATGGGAACAATCTTTAATGTACAAAGTTTCTGTATTGTTATAAGCATCTTCGTTTTAAACTTGGTCATTGTATTTGCCTTTCGCAAGCACTCCAAGACTACAACCACACTAGATTACTTGACGGAAAATCGGCAAATAATGATTCAAAAACGAGAGGCGAAACTACATAAGGGCATTGCAATCGTGATCTGTGCGTTTGTTATCTGTTTCGTACCGTGGTTGTTAGTGCAGTGTTTATTTTATTTTTGCGCACCATGCATTTTCTCCCGGTTAATGTTGGTACATACATTGACTATCGCCTTACTGTATGCCAATTCCGGAGTAAATCCCTTTTTGTATGCATGGAGAATTCCCAGATACCGAGTTACGTTCAAACACTTTTTAAAAATTCGACAAAGGTGCTGCGTTAGTGAAAACAGCCAAGATGAAAACTTTATTGGTGAAACAAGGCTTTAATGATTTTTCGTTTCGTGCACAAATTCGGTTGGGGCTTATGCTAATTACATAAACTATGGTTACTACATTAAAATAACAAAAGAAAAAACGTTAATTTGGATAACATTCAGTTGACAAGAGCAGGTGTTTTAATTGACGTTTCCCTGGGTTAGACATTTGGCCTCAGAAAATACTAAAACTGGATGGTGTTTTTCGCGCGGTCTGATTGGCTACTCAATCAGTGAATATCCTTGATTAGTAAAATCCAACTAGTGGTCTATGTTGAGCTACTGCTAGGCTATATGTTATAGCCTACTAGTGGCGAAAAGCGCCCGCTTTTTGGCGGCAAAAAAGGATTAAAGTCTAGTTTTAACTAACTAAAATTTTTTTATTCTCGATTTTTTTGACCAACTAGTTGGATTTTACCAAAACAATTTTTCCTCTTGCCTTCAGGGCCTCTGAGTCAATAGCACATTCGGCCTTCGGCCTCATGGGCTATTGAGTCAGAGCCCATTCGGGCTCGAGGAATAATTGTTAACTATTCACTGATTCACCTCCAGTTCCTCCGAGCGAGCGACGCCAAACTCGCGTAAGTTGCGAGCAAAATGCCTTCCCGCTGTGCGGTCGTAACAAACAAAGAAATTTCACAACTAATAAAGAAAGCTGTTCCCAAAATAGGTGAAGAAGGTGACGAAGTTCGGTTTGGAAGTTTTAACAAGTAAAGCTTTGTCTTTTCAGTTTGACTTGAATTTATCGATTAAACCAGTGAAAAAGTTTTTTGTTTACAAATGCAAATTAAGCTTAAGACTTGCGTTACTTTATTTAGTTCACTTGCTCATAAATAAGCTCAAAACTAAATTTAATAACATTTACTTTTTACAGAATGATTTTAATTACAAAACGAATTCACAACTCCTTTTGAAGAAACCTCCCTGCTACAGCTAAACAAATGCCTTCAAAAGTTTTATTTGTCCGCAAGAAAAAGCGACGACCGCGGCCGGTCGGTCATCGCGCACCAAAATTGTATTCGTTTGCAATTCTAAATAAAGAACAGTAAGTTTTAAATCAAAATACCTCGAAATCCGTTGTCTCAATAGCCGATTGACCGGATAGCATCCACAATCAGCTGTGAGTTATTTCCACGGCCAGCATACAAACTTCAGTCTTTACCTCCACTCGTAAACATTTTCCAGTTTATTTTGCTTAATTGGGAATGTGTCGTCGACGACCTTTGTGGCATTGATACGAAATTCCATCTTTGATATCCGAAGCGCTTAAGAGCCAGTTTCTGTAAATATCGAGAATCCCGCGACAGTTTCAAAATTTTCAATTTCTTCATATTTTGCCCAAATAAACCCTTTAGTGAGTTATTTTCGAAAACACAATTAAAATATCCCAACGCGCTTTAGTTTCTTCAAAATCGAGGAAAGTTTGAAAATCGCCATTTTGGCCTGCCGCAGTCGTTCAAAATAGAGTAAAATTGTGCATTTTCTTTTCGCTCGTACAGCTAAACGCGTTAACGTCTACCAATGACCTTTTAGCAAGTCATAACATAATTATTGGTCTTTCTAAATCAGTAGTTTAATTTAGAAAAGGTGTTAAATTCTTCATCTTAATGACTGTTTTAACTACCCTTGTCGAAACGCTTTTGCAAATGAGCAAATTTTAGCTAACTTCTGATCGATAGAAAGCCCACTGGTACATTGAATTTCGAGCCAAAACTGCAACAGTCTTTGAGCCTATACTTTATATTGTGTTGTGTGAAAATTTTATCCGCGGCCCGACAAAAGTGTCCCATTGAGAGACGAAAACATATGGTACAATTTAGCGTCTTCGCATTCTTCGCATTCTTCGCTTTCCTCAACGTTCTTGGGAACTTAAAAAGCGTTGACCTCAATGCAGACGTTTCTTAACGTTTAATGCTAAGAATCCTGCAACTGCATGTCTGAATTATTCTTTCGTAAAAGATTTTTTTTTTACAGGCTGATCAGGATATGCCCTGCAGAAGTGTAATACGCTAGATAATTAAAGACGTGTAATGCAATTAATGCCGACCGCAATCAAAAAGCAAAGATAATACAGTATTTTGTGCAGTTACCATTATTTTACTCAAGGAAAGTGGAAATAATTCAATTTTCATTCTTGTTTAATCGTGAGAAAGTCGTAGAAACACCACTAACTAAACTGCCAGGTTGATTCTGGTTTTATAAGTTCCCAGGATTATTGTAAACATAAGGCATGGGGCTCACTTCATAAAGAAGCCCGCTCGCACAATATGTAAACCCGTTCCACGATTACACCGAAAGCCAGTGTACTAAAAAATTACTTGAAAACAAAAGGAAGAACTTGCAGCTAGTGAATCCACAGATCAATACATACGCGAATTTCTTCACGCAAGCTTCAGATAAATAACGAGTAGCGTTCATCAACAGATACATTTGTTTACACATGAAATCAACTACTCTAGATATTCTCACCGGTCTGTTTGTAAGCTTTTTCTCAATCCTTGCGAGGATGTTCCAGTCGCTGTCTCTATGGTATTCAGAATCTGTGTTTGGCATCTTGCTTTATGTCTATATTTGGCAACGATAACAGTAATTTCCAAAAAAGTAAGGCAAGATGAATCACGGCTGGACGTCTTGAAACGGCTGAATGAAAATACGGTTCTTGTAGTAAACGATTGGGCCATGAAATTTCTCCCTCAGTTGTATCGTGAATCCCAGCAAGATTGTTTCATGAAGAGGGGGATTTCGTGGCACATATCTGTGGTTTTCCGTCGGGTGAGGGGTGAACTTCAGTCACAGAGTTTCGTGAATATCATTCAGCAGTGCAATCAAGACAGCACGTGTATTATTTTGATTATGCAGCATGTACTCAAAACCTTGAAAGCTGAACACCCCGAGATAATGACTGCTTTCTACCGCCAAGATAACGCGGGTTGTTACCACTGTGCAAACACCATTCTTGCATGTCCTGTCATCGGGAAGTCCACTGGAATTCAAGTATCACGTTTGGACTTGCGATCTGACAGATCGCAATCGATTTGCAATCGAAACAACCTGCTCGTCTCTTACGTCATCGGAAAACTTCGATAAATCTGGTCGGAGGAAGACGTAAGCATTTGGTTAGTTTCTACCAAACAGTCCAGGTTTAAGTATTCTCTTTATCAAAAAGTTTTTTCACTTCAGGCGGTTAAAGTTCTTAAGGGGAGCGAAATCTGTTGTTTCCTACTGCACAAGCGTTCAAATCGCGTGTCCATGGCCTTGTGTAAATATTCAACCTTTGTTGGTGGTACATGTGGAGCCAGTTCAGAAAATCCAGCTAATGTAGAATGCGTGACAATCGGGCAGTGTACACGAGAGCTCCAGGGCCATCTGAAACTCCTCAAGATTAGCGATGATCCTGGAGTTGACAGCGAGTCAAAGTTGCTGCTAATGCGAGCAGGTATGTAGCCTGCAGAGCAGGCGTTTTTTAACGAAAACTCGGAGGTACATTGATCGTGGCCGCCATCTTGAAAAGCAACGAAGAAGACTAAGGGGGAGGGGCAGTGGAGTTCTCGGTGGAGTTCTCGCGGTTCTCGAGTACGTTGTTTATAACGGCGGCCTGGAACAAGAGGTGATAGAACTGACGTTCACCATTCATCGATCAACATACCGTTGATTGTTTTTCGCAAGAATAACCTTCAATAACTATGTATTTGTTCAATTTTTTTTGTAAATGAGTAAATGGCCAGAAAAAAAGGGGAACGTTTGCTAATTCCCTTAACCCAACCTTAACCAGGGGCGGATCCGGGTTTTTTGTTAGGAGGGGGTGCACTCGTCTCTTGCTCTACTTCAACACCAATAAACCACATAGTTTATATTTTTTTGCAGAATCCCAGTTGTATTAGAAAACGCAGGTCATCTCGAGGGAGGAGGGGGATGCGCACCCCTGCACCCTCCCCCTAGATCCGCCCTTGTTAACTCACCTTTCACTCAAGTCAAAATATTGCAAAGTTTATTTTTTTTCTGAAATCCAAAAACATAAATAGCCGGCTATGCAAAAGACTTCCGTATGAGTTTAAATGAAAGAGAAAATTAAACTATACAACGCCTCAGCCTCCCCCCTCTCCACAGGCGGCCTGTCTTTCTGCGTCGAGGCTGGGTCAAATGGATCCATGACTGTAAGCTAGCGATTCTTGATTCTTTTATAGAAAGCTTGCTCAAAAGCTAGAAACAAATGTCAGGCATAGACCTCTCATGACCAGCTTTTACCTCACCCTGATGAACTGGTTTGCTCACAGGCTAAACGCTTAAAGGATTCCACTGATATAAACCAAATAGTTTTTGACAATATACCTCGTGCTGTAGAAAAGGCAATAACTCTAGTATAATCAAGTCAGATATTTTTAACTTTGAAAATAACTTTGGCTCGTTCAATGAAAGAGGAGAAATGAAACCAACACCATAAGTTCAAACTATTTTGACGCATATTTAAAAAAAACTATTCAATTTTTTTTGTATTTGCAAAATGTCATCAGTGTAAGTGCGGAGTGAATCGCATAAAGAGACGAAAGTGGGTTAAGGGAAAATGCTTCTCAATGCTGCCGGTGCTGTCCTAACAATTTGTAATTTTTAGCTCTGAAAACAAACACTTCCTGTATGCTTTTAGGTATATTTGAAGTCAATGACACTCATTTAACGCTGACAGTGTGCCCGCGACATCGAAGTATGTTTGGAGTACGATGGCGTTGCAATAAGTCACGGTGTACTGTCCCCTCTGCTTTAGCTGTTCATGGACTTGCTGGTTCTCAGGGACAGTGTGGGTTAAAGAGCGCTCTATCTGCATATATTTTCAGCTCAACTAAGATGCTCCTCCCAGTTGGCTCACGTATGTGTTAAGACAGTTTTTAAATAGTTACACTTCTATCTAGATTTCTGCAAGACTGTAAGAAAATTGATAAGTTAGAGTCCTGCTTAGAGCAGTAGCCCGCTGAATGTGTGATTGAAATTTGTTTAAAAAATTATCATGGTTTTAGTATCTAAAAAGAGAGTGCAAGGTCTAATCTATTTGCCCCTAGGTTTTTTGTGCCCTTAGATCCGTCCGTAGATCCGTAATCACTAACTCGTGGTGTATTTTTAATTGCAGCAATATGCCGACGGTGCAGACAACATTTATCAGAACTTGTTTCTCAGACCGAGTCTGCCTCAGCGGTGCATGAACAATTGCCGATCCTACAAGAACCTGGAGAACAAGAAATCGTTGCTGAAGATCTTGAACAACACGCCCAGGAACAGGTTAGAGCTTCCATAATAATGTCTCAAATGCATACCTTGAAAAAATCATTTGTATTCTCTGAAAGTGCCTCATAGATCCACGTAGACTGATGAAACACTGAAAGACGGACACTGCATCCCGGGGGAGGCACTCAGTCAAAAGGGGTTTCCTTTCAAGGCTTCCACTTGAAAATGACACCCTGTTCGAGACAATCAATAGTGAAGTTGTAGACCCTTTTTAAGTCTCAAAACCTTAAAAACCATACCCTATGCAGCGGGACAAACGCGTATGGACTAAATGAGTGGTCCCCCTTTCTCAGGTCGACTTCTTTGAGGACTTGTACCATGTTAGCCGCTAACATGGTACACAGTAAAGACTATATAAGTAACCGTCCGTTGCTTATGTTTGTTGTATAGATTCAAGATGATGAAGGGAGTGTCAGATCCGACGAGCTGGCCGTTAGTTTGGGGGGTTTAAAGGTAGCTGATGAGAGTTACATTCTTTCCCCCCGCGGGACGGGCAGCACTTTATCTTCATCTGGTAATGAAAATGGAGTAGCAGTAGCAGCAGCAGCATCTCAGCCCATCCTACTTGAACATCTTAACAAGTTTTTAATCCAGTGTCAGATCCAGCCTATTCGAAGGCCTTGGTTTGACTGGGATAAAGTCAGCAAAAGAACCAGACAGCGATACGTAACGAGAACAAGCGATATCCTATCCACGGTCATAAAAGTCATTTCTCCAGCTAACGCGCCTTATCTTTGGAACGAAATTCAGTCATCTAGTTTTGTTAATCAGCAGCTAGGTCCCGTTCAGCCATTTCTACCATCAGAGAGGGCTTATTTGGAATCGCTGGCAAAAGTGTATGAACATTCAACTAGCTGGGATACGCGGCGACAAGTTCTTTCTGTTATGGCTGGAGTGGCGAGTTTCAACTCTATCTCCCATTTTATACCCGGTCTGACACATTACCGATATAGCATTTCAAACATTCACCGCCTGCAGCATGGACCTGGTGCTCCAGTTCCGAAAGACAAAGCACCAAGGATAAGGATAAATCTACAACAGCTAGACCACTTTCTTTCCTTCATTACCAGCCCTCATCTGGTCCAGGACCTTCCTTTTGGCGAAAAACACTTAGAGCTCTCATCAGGAAAGATAATAGCCGTGCCCAATGTTATTCGTACTATGATCCCGGAGCGGATAGTAACGCAGTACATCCAGTTTTGTTCAGAATCTAATTTCAGTCGTTTTAGTCGTAGCACCATGCTTCGCATATTGACTGAGTGTAAAGCATCTGTACGTAAATCACTTCAAGGGCTGGATTACTTCGCTGCTGAGGGTGCACGAGCATTTGAACACCTGGGATCGATTGTGGACAAGATTTCACCATTTAGAGCTGACGGAGCAGAATGGGCTACTGCAACATACGATGCCCTGAAGGCAGGAAAGTCATACCTAAAAGGGGACTTTAAGGTTTGTTCGTGTAGCTTATTAGAAGTGTAATAAATGTAGCACTAGCATTTGCTCCAGGCTTAATTGCACAATGACATTTTGACTCTTTATTGGACTGCCTGTGGCAGAGTCAATCTAGTTTCAAATTAAAAAAAAGTATAATAGGTATTCTCCCTTCGGCAAATATATGTGAATCGATAAGGTTATAGAGATCCAAAACGCTCGAATTAAGCAAGAGGCATATGCCTCCAATTTGCTACCAAGTAAGTCAATGTAAGTTTTGCTACCAAGTAAGTCGAGTCTTGACTCTTATGGAATGAAAGATTGCGGGACTTTCACGGGAGTTCACACGTTTCATGAAGTGAATTATTTAGCATCTTGTGGCAAGGCAAAAAAGATAGAGAAAGTGAGAGTAATGAACGCAAATAAGAAAACACAGTCACCTTTACCCTCCCCAACTCCCTTTTTATCTTACTCCCGGCATACCTCTTTCGCTGTCTGACACTAGGGCTATAAATAAGCAGCCTTGAAGATCTGCTCCTTTTTTTATCTTTTTACTCATGTGATACACTGCATAGCATTGTCTCTGTATCAGATGTGTAGGGCTGTGAGCTGAAAGATGTTACATTATTTTTCCCCTTTTTTTATAGGTACATATCGAATCTCAATCAACCGTTGCTGACCACTGTAGTGTGTACGCTCTCAGTGACCCGACCGAGAACTGCTTTACTCAGAAGTGTCATCACCAACACCACCAGCAGTGTGACCAGTGCGAAGCATTGGAGGCGGTCCTAAAAGATACTGGCCGCGCGGTACAGGACACGCGCTTTTCTGACGACGAAGAAAGAGACGAGGCCTTGTACCTTTACGAGTCTGCCACTCAAGCCATCCAATCGTGGAAAAGCCACCAATTGCGGTCAGTAAGGCAAGATCAATCACGGCTGGATGTCTTGAAACGGCTGAATGAAAATACGGTTCTTGTAGTAAACGATTGGGCCATGAAATTTCTCCCTCAGTTGTATCGTGAATCCCAGCAAGACTGGTTCGAGAAGAGGGGGATTTCGTGGCACATATCTGTGGTTTTCCGTCGGGTGAGGGGTGAACTTCAGTCACAGGGTTTCGTGCATATCATTCAGCAGTGCAATCAAGACAGCACGTGTATTATTTTGATTATGCAGCATGTACTCAAAACCTTGAAAGCTGAACACCCCGAGATAATGACTGCTTTCTACCGCCAAGATAACGCGGGTTGTTACCACTGTGTAAACACCATTCTTTCATGTCCTGTCATCGGGAAGTCCACTGGAATTCAAGTATCACGTTTGGACTTCAGCGATCCTCAGGGTGGCAAGGGCCCCGCAGATAGGTTAGCAGCCACGTGCAAGTCCCATATCCGTATTTATATCAACGAGGGACACAATGTCACCAAAGCAGAAGAGATGCAGGAAGCACTACTCTCGCATGGGGGAGTCAATGGTGTTCGTGTGGCAGTTTTACAGACAGTGCCAGAAATAAATCAAGAACAGAAGATCCCAGGAATAAGCAAACTGCACAATTTCGAGTTCAGCGATGGGGCAATTGTGGCCTGGCGGGCGTACAACATTGGTTCAGGAAAACGTTTTGTGATGGAGAAAAGTACAGGTCAGTTTTACTACGTGTTTTTTACCAGAATTTTAGAAAGTTGGTAATCTGAAGGGGCCTATTAAAGTTGTTTTACTTACGATGAAACAAAATTTTTTAAAGGAACTTTCATAATTTTATGCGTAAAATACATTTATATGCCTGGCAAAGCTTGGCAACGTTATCAACTCTGAATCAGTATTTTAAGTATTGATTTATTCATTCAGATTCAAATTTAAACAACACTGTTTTCAACAAGGAGAGAGAAATTGGATGCAACCTCAGTCGTACTTGGTTATTAGTATGACTTATCCTTTACCAGTTTTATTTATAAGTAATCTACTCTTAAGTTCATATTTTATTATTGCAGATGTAAACTACGGTTGGCTCTCCGCTAAGTTTTCGGATGGTAATTTTAAGACGGTATCCATGGTTAGACAACCCAAGCAACCCAGCAGGGAACAAGCCGACGTCCCTCAAGAAACTTCTGCTTTGCCTAGCACTGATGATTTGTTCTCGTGTCCACAAGAAGGCTGTGTACGAGTGTTTCAACGATTCTCTGCTCTTGAACAGCACCTTTCCCTGGAAGCTTGCGAG